ATGTGCAGATGAGAGGCAGATCTTGACATTCAACGCCTGCATCAACTCCTGCCAGAAACGCGCTGTGAAATGGGCCCCTCTATCGGACATGACCTTATCAGGAAGACCGTCACAGACGCCTCTTGTTGCTTCTTGGGGCAGAAAGCGGCCAAATGCAAAGGGTCCCCACAGTAAAAACACAACCCTCCCGAATGTTGCCTGTTCATCTCTGCCACTGATAGATGAGGTCTGGCAGCACCTAACTCCATTGGCTCCTCCCTCTGGACCGGAATCACACTCACAATGGGGGCCGTACGGGTCTCTGGGGTGGCCTGGCGACTCCTTCACTGCTGCAGCTGGGCGTCGATCCGCAGACAGAGATGAATGAGCCCATTAAGGTCCAGGGGAACATCAACACGGGCCAGCTCATCCAACATCTCCTCCAACAAGCCATCCTGGAAAGCGTCCACGAGCGCAGCCTCATTCCAGGCTGAATCCTGGCTAAGCAGCTGAAATTCATTGATATAGGGGGTGTCAGCCTTGCCTCAGAGCTTTCAAATGCCGGGTAACTGTCTGATTCCTGATGGGGTCCTCATACATGAACCGCATGTAATCACAAAACCCCACAAAGTTGTCCATCAACGGTCTAGGTTGAGCTAGCAAGGGTGTGCCCCAAAGAGCTGCAGAACCAGAGAGCAGGCTTATCATAAACCCCACTTTATCCCAGTCAGTGGGGAAATCATCTGCTTTCACACTGATATACAGGTGGCATTGTCCCATGAAAACAGGAAACATGTCCGGGTTGCCATCAAATTTGTCCGGCCTCACCACTTTGCATTTTCTCCTGGGTGGTGGTGGAGCAGCAGGAACCTGGGCAGATAGCTGAGCAACTTGGGCAGATAACAAAGCCAGCTGCTGGGCGAGCTGGACGTTCTCAGCACGTAGCCACTCCATGATAGTAGGGGATGAGGCTGAAGGCAAACTCTTCTATCTCAGCCTATTGCCATTCTTGTTAAAGGCACAAGGACCAAACCCTTGCTGATACAATAGGCTGGAGACTTTAAAACAAAACAAATCCCTTTTAATATGGGTGACAAACCTGTCAAATAGTCCAAAACACAAGCAGCAAAATTCAAGTCCAAAGGAAGGAAATAGTCCACAGAAAACACGATGCAAACAGAAGAGTAGTCACAAGCAAGACGAACAGACCAGGATTCCAAGAAGCACTTTGCAAACAGTTGCCTTCAGCAATCAGCACCACCCACACCTCCTCTTTTTATATAGCAGTCCCAAAGCGTTGCCTCTCAGTGCCTTCTCCTTTTTCCCTGGAGTAGTCGCATTGACTGCTGCTGATTTACTCTTGCTAATTGACGACGTGTGCATGCATCAATTAGCATGTCCATCAGGTGTGAGTCTTCCAAGTCTGACTCATTCTCCTAACACAGCTGAGTTTCATCAGGAACACGACTGGAGGGCCCAGGCTCTGCATCAAACCGTGAGTCCTGTAATTCATCAGAGCCTCCCTCTGCCCCTGATGGCCCTTCAAATGCCTCCTCCACCTCCTCCTCAAATTCCTCAGACTCAGCTGTTGGGAGCACAGGCTGGCACGGAATCACAACAGAAAATAATAAACCCGCATGCATATCCCTCCTCCCCCTTGGAAGTATGGCAGAATCCAGGGAAGGGTGAGAATTGGTTTTAGATCAGAGGAGATAGATAGAAAGGAAATATAACTGGATTCTGACATCCTGCCCTCCCTTAAAAATAAGAGAGATCCACATGTAGAGAAAATAAAACAGGTATAAAAGTTAATCTGGCTTGTTGGGATATTCTGTATGAAACTTCTTTAGCAGTTTCGGGGCTCTGACATGACGTTTATGGACCCACTCGTTTTGTGAGGAGGGAAGATGTTTCCATGCTACTAGGTATTGAGTTTTCCCATGATACTTCCTAGAGTCTAGGATTTCCTTTATCTCGAAGTGTTGTTCTCCTTCAACCATGATTGGAGGTGGGAGGGGGGATTTTTGGCCATAAGGGTGACTGTTGTTCTCTTTTAAGAAAACTGCAGTGAAAAATTGGGTGTATTTGCCTGAGATTTTGGGGTAATTCTAATTCTACTGTTACTGGGTTTATGATTCTTTTAATTGGAAAAGGTCCTATATATTTTGGTCCAGGTTTTTTACAGGGTTTAGGGATTTTAGGTATTTTGTAGACAAATATACCATTTCTCCTACAATGAATGGTGTGGGTTCAACTCTCTTTTTATCTGCTTGGCCAGGTGTTTTGTGATTGTGCTATCCATTCTTTCAATGATGGAATTGCTGGTTCATTTGGGGTCAGTTCTGGCATAGGGTTGAAACTTTGACCGGTGGCTATTTTAAAAGGAGTGTAGCCTGTGCTGGAGTGGACTGCATTATTATAGGCGATTTCTGTGAAAGGGAGTAGGTCCGTCCAATTTGTTTGCTGGAAATTAATAAAGCATCTTAAGTATTGCTCCAGTACTGAGTTTGAGCATTCTGATTGGCTGTTAGACTGAGGATGATGACTAGATGACAGTCCCTGAGTGGTTCCGAAGAGGGATAAAAATTCCTTCCAAAATGCTGACGTAAATTGCACACCTCTATCAGATATGATGTGTTGGGGTGCCCCATGCAGTCTGTAAATGTGCTGCATGAAAAGTTTCACTAAGGTTTTTGCGGTGGGAATCTTTTGGCAAGGGATAAAGTGCACTTGTTGGAAAACAAGTCCATAACCATTCAGATGACAGTGTTTCCATTGCTTTCTGGTAATTCCACTATAAAATCCATGGCTATTTCCTTCCAGGGGGCTGAGGGATTCGCCACTGGTTGTAGCGATTTTCCTTGCAACCTCTTAGCAGCAGCGCATGTTGGGCAGCTGGCCACGTAACTTTCTATGCCCTTTTTCATGGATGGCCACCAAAATTGCCTTTTAATTAAATGTAATGTTTTTACAAATCCAAAATACCCTATTGATTTTGTATCATGGCATAGCTGCATGAACGTGACCCTCTGGGTGGTTGGTATATATAACTTTTCTCCCACCCATGGCAGTCCGTCCTTGATCATGCACACGTGTTTATTTTTCTGGCACCATTCATCCATTTCCAAAGTTTTCTGGAATTCAATTCCAGTTTGGCTACCCAGTTGCGGTTTTAATTTAACTTGGGCTTTAGTGGTTACTGGTGCTGCCAGTTGTGGTAATAAGTGCTTTAGAATCGGTGGCTCGCATGCTGTTATATTGGGGCATGCGAGATAGTGCATCTGCCAGGAAGTTCTTTCCCCCCGGGAAATGCTTGAGCATAAATTGGAACTGGTGAAAATGCTGGGGGTGAGTTTCCTTGGTGTTTTCAAAGCTTCCAAGTTTTTGTGGTCTGTCCATATCTGAAAAGGGATTTTATTCCCTTCAAGGAACTGGTGCCATATAAGTAATGACCAACGTATCCCATATGCCTCTTTCTCCCACATGGGCCAGCGCTATTCTGTTTCGGTGAGTTTCTTGGATGTATATGTGCATGGTTGCAATATCCCTTCATCATTTTCTTGTAGTAGTACAGCCCCCACTGCTACATCACTTGCATCCGCTTGTATTACAAAGGCCTTATCCATGTCTGAACTTTTATTAAGAGTAGTTGATAGCAGTCATAATAGACAGGATCTGAGGGATTCCCTTACAGATCAATATTTTAAAGTGTCCCTAAGCAAACCCCACTCCACAGTTCATCTGGGTGGTTCAGACCGGCAAATCCCCAGGTGTTAAATCCATCGATGGGGAAGGAAAGATAACATCAGTCCAGCTCCGTTTGTGCATGATCATTTCATCTCTTCACACCTTCTTTTGAGACCGAAGAAATAAACCAGGTCCCAGAGGTTTGTATCTCTCCCCCCCCCCTTTTCCTAGCTGCCCGGTAGAGAGGAGAAGTTCAGAGGGGTGTATAGTATAGGAGACAATTTGTTACATTGTAATGGTTAGCAGACATGAAGGCGAATAAACAAAAGGTTACTTTGTAGTGAATAGACAAAGTGAAAGTAATAAACCCTCATGCATATCCCCCCACCCACTTGGGAGTATGGCAGAGTCCAGGGAAGGGTGAGAATTGGGTTTAGATCAGAAGAGATAGATAGAAAGGAAATATAACTGGATTCTGACAATAGGGTTCTAATAGGGAACCAATTTTTCTTTAGGTTATAACTAGTCCATAATTTTTTCTATTGTTGTGTTGTAATTGTTTTTTTTAAATTTTGCATCCATTTTATTATACAGTTTTTGTTTGTTCTGTGTTTATATATAGCATGTGTCCCAATAGGTGATGCTGGTTTTGTATTTGTGTTTCAAATATTGTTTTTTTCTTAATGTCCCTCATTCCCTCCTAAGATCTGATTTTATCCTTCTGGTTATTTGTAAATACATCAATCATAGCATTTTGCAGCCTTTACTAAGTATTTCTATGTTTATATATTTGTAGAATCTGCAATTACATTTAATTTACTGCAGTTAACTCAGTAACTGCATTTGAAAGAAAAGTTGGAGGTGAAATTGTTGGGCTTATTATTCCCTTCGTACATTTTTTAAATAATACATCCTTTTCCATTTTTATCTTCCTATGTATCTCTGTACCATAAGGCTACAGAAGCTAAACCAGCTCCTTTCAAAATGGCCTTCTACTATTCAAATTTTATCTATTGTTATCCACAACAGTGTGCATCTTGCTTTAAATAAACTTTAATATTTGGAAGGACAAGATCACCTCTCTCTTTAGAATTTTATTCAGTGACTAGCTCTCTTTTTGCTCCATATCAATTTACCAACAGTTACTTGTCATTCTTAAATATTTTTTCTAAAGAGAAGTGAAATTTGTGAAATTTTGATAGGCAGAAATGTGATGGTCTGCTCTTCTTGCAATCTTTGAGTGACTGGCTAAGGTGTATGAGTGGGACTGTCTTACCTTGCAATTGTACAATTGACTGGCTTTTCCTCTCCTATATTTTTGCATCTGATTGCAGTTTTGGAGGCTTGGACCAGGTCTATCCTGAGTTATCTCAAGACACATCTCTTCAGATTTACAATTTGATGAAGATTATCATGAAACTCCAGCTCAATGTCTCAGGTAATCATACAGAATTCAACGGAATAATCCTTTAGCAGTTGTGTTTTCTGAGTCTTACCTGTTTCTAAGAGCCATTCTCCCCTCTTGTTTTTAGGAACAGTATTTCCTGGCAGTTACAACAGCAGCCAAGATTTTCTGCAACTAATGTTTTACAAATTTGCACATTTTGCTAGATATACTGACTTCCTCTTATTATATAAGGAGTTTAATGGGGTAAGTAAAAATAAGTAATCTTCCAAAACTATTTTTGGTGGTTCAGAAAAATTGTATTGATTTGATCTCTGAGCGTGGCAATTTGGCTACAAATGTTTTGTCTCCATTCGGGGGCTGGGAGTTGGTGGTGGGTGGGGGGAACACCTTCAGTGCATTTTGAATTGTGCTCATCTGTCAGAGCACTGACCTTTTAAATACCTTTTTGTTGATGTAAATTGGTGTGGATGTTATTTGTCTGAATGTTGCTGAGATATTACATCTAGCAATATGATGTCAGAACCCATCATATTCAAGGGGCTCTTTCGAATTCTATTTCTTCTATTATTCTGGGTTCTGCCATACTCCTGGAAGGGAGGGGGGAAGACGCTGCGGGCTGTCTCTTTGTTTCTCTCTATCGCTACAGTATAATCCTTTCACTGTTTCTGAATACGTGCTCTTTGAACTGTCTCCCCTTATTGTCAGCTGGGAGGGGAGAAAGGAATATGCCTCCTGCCATCTGGCTTATCTCCTATGCCAGAAAGAAAGGTGTGAAGACCCAACAAACATAGCTATGAGCCTGAGACAGAGTGGTGTTATCAGTTCTTTCCCACAACAGACTTAATACCTGGGGATTGGCCCGTTCAAACTGACCAGATGAACTATTGAAGTGGGGTTTTGTTTGGGACTCTTTTAACCTATTGTTCTGAGCGGGAAATCCTCAGATCCTGTCTATTATGCCTGCTATCAGCTTCTCTTAATAAACGTTCCTTTTGGAAGAAACTGCTTCCACGGGTTCTACTTTCTTAGGATGAGGTTTTGAAGTGGGCCCTGACATTGGCAGGATCTGAGGATTTCCCACTCAGATCAATAGATTAAACGAGTCCTAAGCAAACCCACCCCAATAATTCATCAGTTCATAAGCCATATGAATTCATAAGCCATAAGCCATGACAAATAACACCAACACCAATTTATATCAATATTTATATTAAAAAGCCAGTGCTCTGACAGATGAGCACAATTCAAAACACACTGAAGATGTCCCCCCGAATGGAGATGAAATGTCTGCAACCAAATCGCCAAGCTCGGAGATCAGACCAACAGCCAACTACCATCCCGAGCTAGTAATATTCAAACACATTTCACTGTATATTGGTAATCAGAAACAAATGGCCCTAGTTCTTATTTGATTGCTTATTAAATGACATTGTTAATTGCAAAATAAAATACCTGTTATTTCACTAGACGTGTTAATAGCTAATGGGATCATATATTAATCAGGAGTTATTGAATTATTAAAAATACAAATTGAAGAAAATGCCTCTCTACTTTCTTAAGACTGACTTCTAGCGAATTTCTTTGATACCTTTGAAATCCTATAATTCTGTGTATTTATTCTTTAAGTTTGAAGTCCTTTCCCTCCTGTCCACAAAACAAATGGGAGAAATGATGGTTGTTACTGATGCCTTCAGAGATGAATTCCTGGCTATACAGATTTTGGTGGAACTGGAGAAACGCCCTTCTACCTCTATCATGGATTTTATGATTGAATTTAATGCTGCAGCAAAACAGGTAATATTTTTCTATTTTAACTCTTTTGCTACCATGTTATTCTTGAGTTAGTTAGGCATCTTTTTGTTTGGTACAATGAATACTGAAAGATAACTATTTCAATAAAGTTCATTTTCTCTGTAGTTTTTGAACCTGGAAACAAGTTGTCACAGAATCAGAACAACAGAGTTGGAAGGGATCTTGTAGGTCATCTATTCCAACCCCCTACCCAAGCAGGAGACCCTACACCATTTCTGACAGATGGCAGTCCAGTTCTCTTCTTCAAAGCTTCCAGTGATGAAACTTCCACAACATCTGAAGACAAACTGTTCCATTGGTTGATTGGTCTCGCTGTCAGACAATTTCTCCTTATTTCCACATTGAATCTCTCCTTGATCAGTTTCCATCCATTATTCCTTGTCTGGCCTTCAGGTGCTTTGGAAAATAGGTTAACCCACTCCTCTCTGTAACAGCCCTTCAGATATTAGAACACTTATCATGTCTCCCCTGGTCCTTTTCTTCTCTAGACGAGCCATGCCCAGTTCCTGTAACCATTCTTCATATGTTTTAGCCTCCAGCTCCCTAATCATCTTTGTTGCTCTTCGCTGCACTTTTTCTAGAGTCTCAACATCTTTTTTATAGTGCGGAGACCAAAATTGGTTGCAGTATTCTAGGTGAGTCTTACTAAGGCTTTATAGAGTGGTATTAATCCTCGACTTATGACCATAATGGAGATTGCCTATTATAGTTACAAGTGAGAAACTTCCTGACAGTGAGAACATTAACCAGTAAAATGGCTTCCAGAAATTGAGGAACTCTGTCACTGTAGGTTTTTAAAAAGAGATTGGATATTTGTCTTGAGACCCTTCCTGAGCAAGGACTGGGACTAGGAGACCTCCAAAGTCCCTTCCAACTCTGTTACCCTGTATTCTAGCATTTTCAAATAAAGTTTCAGATTTTGGAAAGCTTTCTGACTGAAACCAGGATAGCTGCATCAAGAGGTATCTGCAGGAAAGATTTAATAAAAGTTAACACAGAGACATAATCACTTGAGTTATATGCTGCATTATTATTATAATTTAACCACATTATGTTATCATATCATTATAATATATAATATAGTATTAGGTAAATGTATTATATAATTATTATAGAATAATATAATCATGTGTGCTGCATATTAAAAGGAGTCAGGACTTCAGTAGTGCACTCAGCTGCCCTGTCACTCCTAGTTCTGAATTTGAAATTTCCAAGAGAAATCATTATCACATTTTGAACATGCAAGTCAAGCAGGATCTTTCTTTCTCTGGCAGAAGCACCTGATTGTCCTCCCAGATCTCCGGATCCGTGACTTAATTTTCAGAATGGTCTTCAAGACGCTCAAGTTTGGCACCTTTTCTGCTGAGCAATATTCTTTTTGGTTTGGAACTCAACTCCAGCTGTTCCTGACAGCTTTATCACCCAGGGACCTGCAGCTGATCCCACTCGATGTAGATTGCCAGTCTCACCAGCACTTGTTAGTCCAAACTCATTTCTCTTTCCATGTCTATGAAACTTGGGCACCTCCTTATACCACCCTTCAGACTTCCTTCACACAGCATCTCAGATCATGTGTCACATTGTTTACTTTTGGTTTACTGTGATTTCTGAAATCAGCTACTATGACTTGTTTGTAGCCAACAATATGTGGTTTGTTGAACAAAGCAGAATGAAAACAGGCCATGACTTTGTGCAATGTATGCACCATGCCAGAACTGGAGAGATTGAAAGAACTGGAGGAAGAGCCAACCGTGACAGGGGTGGGAGGAAAGACATCTGTCCTGCAATTCTTATCTGCTTTCCTCTTTTCTGCTATTACACATTGTTTCAAGTGCTGTGCTATGTCAGGCTACCATTGGACTGGTCTGGAATCCACAATATGGGCAGAATGCAGCAGAAGCAGAAGTTATACTTAGCTTTAGAGCTGCTCCAGCTCTCTGTCTATACCTAGCCCAAGGCTTTGCTTGGTATTAGTATAAAATTAACAAAGTCTTCTTAGAATTCAGCCCAATTACTGTAATTCCATGCACACATCCTTGTTAATTTCTTAGAAGATTGATAAAGGTGGTTTGCTCTTGTGATCTTGCAAAAGTGGGGGGGGGGGTTTCTTCCTAAATCAGCCTATGAACTCCAGTCCAAAGACTAGCCAGGTCCAGTTCTTTTCAGGTGAGGTATTGTAGATGGCCAATTAGCAAACCTTCCTTGTGGAGCATCCGTATTGGGGAAGGATTGCTTCTTGGCAAGACTCCCTTGAAGATGTTGATTGGGCATTCTTTTAAAGACACCATTTTATGTTCTTTCTCCTCAATTATTAATGTCCTCCTGTATCATCAAATGATTTTTTTTAGCCCATAGAGTCATAAAGTCATAGAATGTATAATAGCAATAGCACTTATATACAATTTCACAGTGCTTTATAGTCCTCTCTAAGCAAGGTCAGCATATTGCCCCCAACAATCTGGGTCCTCATTTCACCGACCTTGAAAGGATGGAAGGCTGAGCCAACCTTGAGCTAGATAGTAGTTCAACCCCTTTTCAGTGCAGGAATCCTCTTTACAGTCCCTAGCCTCTGTTTGCAACGAACACACCACTGCTCTGGGCAGATTATTCTATTGTTTTTTTCCTTTCCTTTGATTTTCATTCCAAAATGTTGTTTTTATGATTAAGATAAAGAGCTTTGCAATCTGTTTATTAGTTTTTCATAATGAGAAATGGTACAGAGATTCCTTAAATCAATATGCGCATTCTGCTTGGTTTCTCTGTCTCAGGGTGAAGGCCATGGAGAAACCATATGATGTCTTAACAGCAGAACAGAAGGAAGCTATTCATGGGAGGATATTGACCTACCTGAAAATATATCAGGCAAGACAAGGTAGGGATGTAAGAACATCATAATGATGGGAACATTATAGCCTGGAAATGTTGGATTGGAACCTCTCCCTACCCTATACTGGTTTGGATTGTGAAAACCTGTTCAACTCAAGCAGAGGATGTGAAGTTGGGCAAGGCTGATTCAGCAGCCTTGATGGTGCAGTGGTTAGAATGCAATATTGCAGGCAATCTCTGCCCACAGCTTGGAGTTTGATCTTGACAGACCTCAAGGTTGGCTCAGCCTTCCATCCTTCTGAGGTCAATAAAATAAGGACTCAAATTATCTGGGGAAATATGTTGACATTGTAAACCACCCAGATAGTGGTGTAAAGCAGTATGGGGTGACTTATAGATCTAAGTGCTATTACTAGTAGAATGCATTGCATCAGACAAAGAGTGCTTGTACTAAGGCAGAAAAGAATCTCTCTAAAATCTGGATTCCCAGGGACTTCATGGACAGGTCTTTAAAGCAGTTGTTTTGGCAACAATTTGGAAGTTTCCTATTGCCTTTGTCCAGGATATATTTTTCAACCTAGTCTGTAACCTTATGATTTTTTAGCGGTCTCACATCCTAATACTGAGCAGGTTTTACTGTATAATGCTTTGCTTTTTCAAAATCAGTGGTTCCAACTAGAGCTAGCTTGTTTATTTATCTATTTATCAAATTTATATGGCTGCCTATATGGCACAAGGTACAATAAAACCAACTATTAAAAGCAAATATAAAAACCAATTAAAACAAATAGTAAGCAGAAGTAAAAAATAGATTATGAAATGCTAAATCAGTATGTCATATGTGATGCCATGGTGCCCCCATGTCTGATGAAAAAGCCATCTTTGGAGGCCTTTCCGAAATGCCCTAAGGGTTGGGGCTGACCTCACCTCAGGGTAGGTGCCACAGGAGAAAAAGCTTGTCTTCTGGGGCATGTCAGATGGAATTCCTCTTTAGCAGATGGCACCTGCAACATGCTCCTCCTGCTGTATCCCATTTTGGGGAAACAGGATTTACTGGAATTTAGGCCACTGGAGAGAGGAGGATTCCACAGAAAATTGGGCTTTGACTGGGGTCCTTTGTTACTAAATGAATGCCAGAACACCACATCCCAACCAGAAATTTCAAAAAAATATATTTCTTTTCATCCAACTGAATAAGAACAGATAAAGGAAATCCCCTCTGTACAAAATGTGAGGCAAGAGAGGCAAGAGAATGAAATAACAAACAACTGACAGAAATCTCAGAGGGAACTCCCATCTGACTTACCCTTCCACTAAGGAAACCTTCAATGGTCTCTGGGATTTCTAAAAAAATTGTACTCCAGCTTTATTCCTTCAAATACAATGATCTCATAAAGAGATCAGCACTGTAACTGCTGCTCTGGGCAAATTGACGCACTGACTGCTCATCTTTGCTGCATTCTAGGTACTACCTGCTCTCCAGATGCCAACAGCACCCATTGGCTCCTAAGCAATTATGGCCGATTCAGTGCTCTCGCAAGCATTAAGGAGTTCTTGTCAGTGAATGTTAATTTTAATGCGGTGAGTGAATCTATGTAATTCTGAAGCTAGCAAGCAAACAAGAATCCCTTTCTCATCGCTTACACAAAAATTAGAGCATTGGATAGTTCTCCTGTTTGTCCTAGGCTGTCAAGGCCACTTTCTTGGGTTTATTTTTCCTACATTTGTCCTTCTGCTGAATTTATTTTGAGCATCTTGAATTTTCTAGGGAAAAGTGACAGCTGCTTCAGTACTTAGGGCATTGGTTCAGTCTAGTGTTGTCAGGACTAGGTATTGCAAACCATTCCCCATGGTTCCAGGTAAGTATTGCAAATCAGGCACTCAAACCCTGAGCTTCAGCTCTTCCCAGACAAAAGTGTCCCCTCTTTTTCTTCTGGAACAAAGCCTTATTCAAAAGACCCAGCTGGGAAACTAAATATAATTTTGTAAACTTTATCATACATTGCCTATCCTTGACAAAATCTCAAGCAATCCACCAATCACAGGCCTAAAAATCATCATGTCATTATCAATGGCAGCAACAAAATGTGCATTTTGATTTCCTTTGATACAGAGGCATCCCCACAGGATGGTGGTAAAAAAGTCAGGATTGAAGCCCAACCGAAAACATTTATAGAAAATGTCATCTTGCTTTTTTGACCCCATTTCCTTTCATCTTCCGGGGTGGAGCTTGCAACACAAGATCACAACAATGCTTGCAGTAAAATCCTATAGATGCTGCTGACCTTTTTGGATTCATTGTAATTTGAGTGAAATCATGTCATACTGGAACAAGCATTATGGATTGATTCAATATACATCCTTTCCAAAACACAATGCGGTAGCAGTTTTGGTAGGGCCTTGGAGGGGGGAATATAACTATCTACTTGAGGCCTGGAAGGGACTCTGATTTGGGGTCATGTATGTGCAGATGTTGTGGTCAATTACGTATCAGATATCTGGAGAAATATCAGAGTATGGGGAAGAGAGTGAATTGTGCTTAGCCATTTCCGATTGTCTCACCAGTCTCCCGAAGGAGAAAGCTTCAAATTTTCTTTGAATCAGTTGCATCTTCTAGCAACTTTATGATTATGTACATATAGTTTTGGGAGTGATTTCCCCCTGCCTTTTAGTAAGATAGGTTTTTCAAATGAGCATGGCCTGTAGCCCTGGGATTCCTTGAAAGTTTCTCACCCAAATATGTCAGACCCTGCTAAGACATACAAGGCCAGCAAAAATAAGCCAAGGACCTCCATCTTGCTGGGTGCAACTTTTGATGACTTCATAGACCCAGTGTCATGGTTCCGAAAGAAGAAGCTCTTCAAAGAACTCTGATTGTTTACCTTAAAGAATCTTTAATTTGCAACATAGCTTTGGCACCTACATAGAGAAGCCAAAATCTAAATTCTCCTCCCCCAGGCACATAGTAACAAAGCATAACTCACTCCTTCGTTTAACAGTCATTAATCACATTCTCCAATTAGTTTGAAGTGTGAACTTTCCCTCCCATTATCTCCTCTTATTACAACTAACCTTGAAGAATTCTACTGAGATATTGTTATAGCTAACTAGTCCCCAAGCACATTCTTCCCCCCTCCCTTCCAGCAACGTCTAATTTTAATTCTAAAAGTAACACACAGGTTAAATAGAAAATGTCTGCATCTTCATATATTGTCAAGAACATCCGATGTTAGCAGCATTGACACCCAGTCAGATAGAGTTCGTGGCATGAGGTACATAAAGTTCCTTCTTCTTGGATGGTTTTTTTTTTTTCAGCTTTCCAATCTAACTTACAGCCTTGAGATGTCCTGTTCCCCACCCAAGTATTAACCATGTCTTACTTTGCTTAGCTTATTAGGATTAGTCAAAATCAGGTTGGTTGGTTGTTGGTTCTGCCAACAAAATTGCAATCACATCATGAATAGGTCTGTTTGGGAGATTATAAAATCATAGGGCTGGAAGAAACCTTGGAGGTCTTCTACTCCAACCTCCCACTCAAAGCAGGAGCCTTACACTTAAATGGTTGTGGAGCACCCACAACTCCAGGAGGCAAGCTATTCCATTGATTAATTGTTCTCACTATCAGTAATTTTCTCCTTTTTTCTAGACTGGATCTTTCTTTAACAAGCTTCCATCCATTACTTACTGTCCTGCCCTCAGGTGCTTTAGAGAATAAGTCAATTGCCTCTTCTTTGTGATAGCTCCTCAAGTATTGGAAGACAGTTATCATGTTCCCGTTAATCATTCTCTTCAAAGGAGAGAACTTAGTTCCCTCAATTGTTCATCATACATTTTAGCCTCCAGGCCCCTTATCATTGTTGTTTCTTTTCAGAGACTCTTTCCAGAGTCTCAACATCTTTTTTGTATCGTGACCAAAACTGGATGCAGTATTCCAAGTGTGGTCTCACCACTGTGATATAAAACAGTACTATTACTTCTTGTGATTTTGATGCTATCCCTCTAAAGATGCAGCTCAGGACTGCATTTTTTTTTGGCAGCTGCATCACATTACTGTCTCATATTTAAGTGGTGGTCCACTATGACACCTATATATATCTCACAATCACTGCTGTCAAGCCAGATACCACCTATTCTGTACCTATGCATTTGGTTTTTCTTGCCTAAGTACAGGCCTTACTTTTCTCAGCATGGAATCACATCTTGTTAGATTGATTATATTCTATTGCCTATTGAGCAATGATCTCAACTTATAAATTTAATTGCAAGGAACTCAAAATAATGAAAATAAGGTTTAAAAACAAATCATAAATCATAAATCGTGACAGCTAGTTTACTTTAAAAAAATATCAGGGATGGGCCATGCAGACTTGGCAGGAAGAATTAGAGAATGCTGTTCCAGAAGTTTTGTTAAACATGACTGAAGCATGTTGAGAAGAGGGTACATATAACCAGCACAATGTACATTTTCAGGTTACAGTCCTGGCAAAACTGTCTGCAAGCCAGCTGGCTGAATTAGTCATAACTCTGGAAGCCTGGAATGATGGGAACCTTCTGATGGAGATCATGAGCCACTTGGAGACCATGGCAGATCTAGCCAAATTCCTTGACCAGCTGAATAAGTTTGCTGCGGTACATGAATTTTCTTTAAGAGGTTTGGAAAAGAGGGAGAAAAAAAAAACTTGGGAAAAGAGGAACAAAACAAATTTCTGCCAGATGCTGCTGTTCAAATAGTTAACACAAACAAAGATAGAATCTAAAGGAGATGTACCCAATTTTAAACATTTCATATTTATTTGTTAAATTTATTTGCTGCCTGCTTTACCGTGGGGCTGCTCTAGGTGACTTAACAACAATAAAAACAGAGAAATGAAAAGAAATGCAAACATAACAGTAGCAAAGCAATGGAACAATAGAATAAACAAGAAAAATAAAATATGAGAATATGGCAATATGAGAATAAAGATGAGTGGACGGGGAAGCAAGGAGCAAGTGGGCTTTGCTATTAATCTAGTAGCCACCTTCAGTGTGGTACTCCCCTACTGGGTTCCCAGGCAACCATCAAAGCCACCTCTATTCTAAATATTCTATTTATAGTATATTTCTTATATTTATTTATAGAATATTATATTCTAGAAATTAATATTCTATAAATATTCTAATTTGTTAAGTATTCATGTTCAGTTTTTCTATTCAAAATACTTACATATATAAAGATTATTCTTTAGGAAATGTATAATTTATATAGCACAAGAAAAAAAAGAACTGATTTCAATACAGCAATCCTAAATTGAAGAGGACTCGGTGTTGTCAATATTTGGTAGACAATGGTAGTTGCTAAAAAGAAAAAAGCATTCCTCCCCCAAATAATATTTTGCACCCATGACAGATGATTCCTCATCTAAAAGGAATGTAAAGCTCACTGTCTGAAGAAGAGGGTGTCAGAAATGAGGGCAGAGAGGGAGTTGATCTACTTACTAAATTGGGGGGGGGGTCTCTTGACAGATGGAATTGCAGAGCAGTGACAATTCTGATTTGATTCTGGGCATTGCATTGCGAAAATTAGCTGTCAACTTCGCAAAGTTCAAACCCAGGGATTTCACCTACTGGTTCCAGTCTGCATTCCAAAATGTGCTGCATGCTGTGAACAGAAGCCAGATGGTCACCCTCCCACTCAGGATATCTTGTGACTCCTATCAACAAATGTGAGTATGTCTCCCATGCATTGAAGCTGTTTCTCTCCTATTAAAAAAAACACCTATGGCAAGCAAATGCTGTTACTGGCCACTGAAAGAAACAGTCCCACAAATGGTGAATGAGACAGGCAGATATTATTCTATCTGATGTGCTCAACTGATTGGAAGGAAGTCTGTGAAATTTAAGTATTTGCCCAATCTTTAGAGGGATTCATCCATTAAAAGTATACATTTCACTGATAGTGTACACAAAGAATGCTAACCTGTTTATCAAATTAAACTATTTTCTGGGCTTACTTCAGGAAGCAAATAACTAAATAACCTTGCTAAGACATAACCTTTTCCTCTGAAACTAGTCAAGAATGAAACCACACTTAGTATGTTGTGCAAATGCAGCTTTGAGCTTTTTAGTTGACCTAGTAGAATATATTAGAAAACATGTTGAAATAATCAGTCATTGATTCTTTGCCATGGAGAAGATGTTGCAGAGATGTTGCCTTTTGAAAATTGTGTAGCCATAGCTATCCTCAAGTGAATGCTCCAACGCTGGAAGTTTTTAAGAAGAGACTGGACAGCCATTTGTCTGAAATGGTGTAGGGTTCCTGCCTGAGCAGGGGGTTGGACTAGATGATCTCCAAGGTCCCTTCCATCATCATCATCATCATTATTATTATTGTGGATCATCGCACAGTCAGCCAGATGTTCAGACTGGATTTGGCATTTTGTCTACCTATCGAGTCCTTACCCAGGACCTGGGATAGGCAGATGTGGATGGATCATCCGTCGCAGGATGGAAGCAGTTCCTAGCAAGGCTGCTTTTTGCAATTGACTAATAGCGAATTTGTCAATGCCAATGGTGTTCAAATGGTGCTCCAGTTGTTTTGGGATTGCACCCAAGGAGCCTATCACTATTGGTACTACCCTTGCTTGCTTTTGCCACTGTCTTTCTATTTCTATTTGTAGGTCTTTGTATTTTGTTATCTTCACAAGTTCTTTCATCTATTCTGCTGTCTCCAGGCACTGCCACGTCCACTACCCAGACTTTTTTGTCTTTCTTATCGACAATTATTAAGTCTGGGGTGTTATGTTGCAGGTGCTTGTCTGTTTGAATTCTGAAGTCCCAAAGCAGTTTAATTTTATCATTTTCTATGACTTTCTCTATTTTATGATCCCACCAGTTTTTGCTTACAGGCAAATGATATTTTTTGCAGATCTTCCAATGCACCATTGTGCTACTTTGTCATGCCGCTGCTTGTAGTCAGTCTGTGCAATCTTCTTGCAACAGCTTACCAGGTGGTCCACTGTTTCTTCAGCTTCTTTGCATAGGCGGCACTTACTGTCTGTTGCTGTCTTCTCAATTTTGACTTTATATGCATTTGTCCTTAAGGCTTGGTCTTGTGCAGCCAGAATTAGACCCTCTTAGCCATTGCCAGGTCTTATTATCTGCTTTCCCAGCTATTTTTTTCATGTATTGGCCATGTAGTGTTTTGTTTTCCCATGCCTCTATTCTGTTCTTCATTTGGTCTTTCTTGTACGCCAGTTTGGTCTCTCCAGTAGTCAGTAAGCCTTCCTGATATACTAATTTCAGTGCATCTTCATCATTGTTCTTCAGATATTCTTCCAAAGCAATTTTTTCTTCTTCAACCATCTGATGTACTTGTACCATTCCACGCCCACCTATTTGCCTTGGTAGATAAAGTCTGTCAATGTCACTGCGTGGATGAAGGGCGTGATTTATTGTCATTATTTTTCTAGTCTGCATATCCATTGCTTTTAGTTCTGTTTGAGTCCAGTCCACTATTCCAGCTGTGTACCTAATGACTGGGATTGCCCAGGTGTTGATTGTCTTTATGGTATTTCCTCCATTGAGTTTGGACTTTAAGATCTTCTTCACTCTCTTGATGTATTCACCTCTAATCTTTTTCTTGACTTCAGTGTGCCTGATGTTGTCAGCTTGAAGGATACCCAAGTATTTGTAGTAATCTTCCTCATCCAGACTCTTAATGTTATTTTCGTGGGGCATCTTGATTCCTTCAGTTTTCACTATTTTTCCTTGTTTGATAGTAAGTGTGGCACATTTGTCCAAGCCAAACTCCATACAATATCTTGGCTATATATACGGACAGTGTTGAGCAGCGATTCTATTTCAGATGATGTTTTTCCATACAGTTTCAGATCATCCATATAAAGGAGGTGGGATAGTCTGGCAGATGTTTTTGATGTTTGATAGCCATGTCCTGAGTTATTCAGTATTGTTGACAGAGGAAACAGTGCAATGACAAATAGTAATGGTGATAATGTATCTCCTTGAAATATTCCTCTCTTGATATTAACCTCTCCCAGCCTCTCACCATTGATCTGCAACTGTGTCTTCCATTGTGCCATCGATCTTTGCACAAATTTTCTGATGTTTCTACTGACTCCTGTTCTTTCTAGGCACTTTATTATCCAATCATGTGGCAGAGAGTCAAATGCCTTTTTGTAGTCAATCCATGCCACATTCGGGTTGGTCTTCCTTCTCTTGCAGTTTTCCAAGATCATTTTGTCTATTAGGAGTTGATCTTTTGTTCCTCTGCTATTGGGGCGGTTTCCTTTCTGCTCAGGTGGAAAGAGATTGTTTTCAACTAGAAGCTGTTGTACTGCATCAGCTACCACACCAGTTAATAATTTGAAAGTTGTTGGTAAGCAGGTAATTGGCCTGTAGTTACCTGGTGTTGCCCCTTTTGCTGGACTTTTCATTATTAGGTAGGTTTTCCCAGTTGTTAGCCACTTTTCAATTTCTCCTCCTTGTAGTATATTGTTGAACTGCTTGGCAATGAGTGGGTGTATAACAGTTAGATGTTTCAACCAAAACCCATGCAGTTCATCTTTACCTGGTGCTGACCAATTTTCCTTTCTCTTTTTTCTACCATTTTTGTTGTTATTACTAGTTCTTTCATTTCAACTTCTGTTTTATTTGCATCCACCTCTTTTAACCAAGCCGCATCCTTGTTGTATTTCTTTGGGTTATCCCATATCTGCTTCCAGAACTGCACTGTTTCTTCCATGTCAGGTACTGACTGATTCCTTGCAGTTTCTCCATTGATGGATTGGTAGAAACGCTTCTGATTGGATTGAAATTGGAGGTTCTGCCTATAGTTTGCAATTCGAGCTTCATATCTACTGATTTTGCTGGCTATAGCTGTTATTTGTTGCTTTATTATTTCCAGTGCTTCCTTGATCTTCCTTGTTTCTAAGTGGTATTTCTTGATTAGATATTCTTTGGTCTTCTTGTTCTTCAGCTTCTTTTCTTTCATCTGTTCTAGCTTGCTTGCATGTGATCTTAACTTGCTGATCTTATTTTCTAGTCTAACCTTCCATTTTTCTGGTGCACTGTTTGTTTGTTGATTTTGCATCCCAGCTGTGCTGTACATTAGTTGGTTTGTTTCTTGCAGTGAATTGGTGCTTATACTTTGTTTATTTATTTATTTATTTACAAATATTTGTATGCCGCCCAATCCCAAAGGACTCAGGGCGGCATACAAAGTTAAAAACAGTCATAAAACAATAAAATAATCCAGTCATACCACGAGTCCGATCATATCCCGGCCCCCCGGGGACATCAGCCCCAGGCCTGCCGGAACAGGAGAGTTTTAACGGCTTTCTTAAAGGCCGGCAGGGTGGGAGTAGTTCGAACCTATTGCAGTATTTGCATCTTTTAATGCTTGTGCTAGCTGTTTCTTTGAAACAAGCTTCAATGCAGGCAGCCTTATTCTGTTGTTTTTGTGCTGTTCTAGATGCTCAGTTATTCTTTGTTTCAATTCTTTTATTTCTTTAGTTAGAGGGTTTTGTTCTTCCTGAGGAAGAGGTGCCTGGTTTCCAAATGTGAACAGTTGTATATCTTTACTGGATTCTTTCACTGCCAACTCCCCCTGGTTTGCTTCTACATTCTGAATTACTTCTTGTAAGGCTTTGATTTCTTAGCCCTGGGTAAACCTTTGCAGTTCGTCCAATTCTGTTTCTGTGAATACTTTATTTCGTATTATAAATCGGCGTTGATCTGCTAGTCTCTGTTCTGTTATTTCTGATTCTGGATGTTGTTCTTTCCAGAACTGGTGCGTGCGTTTTAGATATCCTTTTCTTGTTGGACTTGATCTGTAGTAACAGATCATTATTTCTTTGTTTTCCATCACTGTGTATCTGCGACGGGTAAACACCTTTTCTTCCAGTAGTTCTGCAGCTGCTGGCCCTGGTTGCTCAGCCAACAGTCCTGAGTCCTGTAACCCATTTTTCACCAGATATCCAGGAACTCCAATATCTATCGCGGACCTTGTTAACCCGGGCGACGTCCGAGCCGGTATGGCATTCTGAAATTTACGTCTCACCATATTTTTTATGGGAGAGACACTCTTTGTCTGACTCCTCTGATGAGACCTGTCCAGTATGGTTGAATCTCTGGCATAGCTCTCATCTTTCTCAGAGTACACAAGCCCCACAACCACTGGGGGTTTATTATTATTATTGTTATTATTATTATTAACCATCGCACAGTCAGCCAGATGTTCAGACTGGATTTAGCATTTTGTCTACCTTACCCAGGACCTGGATAGGCAGATGTGGATGTTTGATGGTATTACAGATATTGTCGCAGGATGGAAGCAGTTCCTAGTAAGGCTGCTTTTTGCAATTGACTAATAGCGAATTTGTCAATGCCAATGGTGTTCAAGTGGTGCTCCAGTTGTTTTGGGATTGCACCCAAGGTGCCTATGACTATTGGTACTACTCTTGCTTGCTTTTGCCACAATTTTTCTATTTCTATTTGTAGGTCTTTGTATTTTGTTATCTTCTTCAGTTCTTTCTCGTCTATTCTGCTGTCTCCAGGCACTGCCATGTCCACTATGCAGATTTTTTGTCTTTCTTATCGACAATTGTTAAGTCTGGAGTGTGCTTGTCTAGTCTCTTGGTCTCTTTCTTCAATTTTCCTGCTCTTAGCCATTGCCAGGTCTTGTTATTATCTGCTTTCCCAGCTATTTTTTAATGTATTGGCCAGGTAGTGCTTTGTCTTCCCATGCCTCTATTCTGTTCTTCATTTGGTCTTTCTTGTAGGCCAGTTTGTCCAAGCCAAACTCCATTACAATATCTTGGCTATATATACAGACAGTGTTGAGCAGCGATTCTATTTCAGATGATGTTTTTCCATACAGTTTCAGATCATCCATGTAAAGGAGGTGGGATAGTCTGGCAGATGTTTTTAATGTTTAATAGCCACGTCCTCAGTTATTCAGTATTGTTGACAGAGGAAACAGTGCAATGACAAATAGTTATTATTATTTTTATTATTATTATTATTATTAGTAGTAGTAGTAGTAGTAGTAGTAGTAGTAGTAGTAGTAGTAGTAGTACAGGATGGAAAACAATCAGGAAGATCAGAACTGCAAATTAGACTGAGAAGTTGAATAACTGCCCCCCAAAAAGGCAAACCAAACCAGTTCTATACTGTTGCCAGACAGCCTCCCTAGATGCATGCATGAAGTTATTAGAGAAAACAACAGCAAAGCTCTTCAATATTGCTGTCACAAAACTGCTTGGTTGTGTCCATAAAGTTAGAGATCAAGCCTGAGTTAGCAGAGTGTTTGCCTTTCTTTACCTGGTCAAATGATTATATCTCCTAGACTGAAGGGTTTTGACAACATCTATTCCAACATCCCAGCTGAAAATGCTGCAAACATTTTTGGATTCATCAAAGCATTTTTGATGTCAAAAGTCAAATCAGGTAACTATACCTTAAAGAGATTCAACTCTAGTCTTTACTGTTTAAGCATGCAAAACAGACTGTGTTTATGTGGCTAAAGAGATCCTAATCATTAATCATGAATTCATCCAGGATGCAAAATACCTGACACAGTACTTAGGAAAAAAATCAGAATCAACCATGAAAAATGTTGCTGTAAAAAAGGGAAACAGAATTTTAGGCTGATCAAGAGAAATTCAGTTTCCAAACCCAGTGAAATGCATAGTTGTGGTAGGAAGGCAGAGACAGATGGGGTTGTCAGAGAGGACCTCCTCCCTCAGTTAAAAAAGTCTCTCATTCATGGAAAGATCCATATCAAAGCTTTTGGGTGAGCCTGGGATTGAAAAGAAAAGAAGCTGTTTATGTTCAACTTGATTTAAAACCATTAAAAGGAATCAAAACCTGGGTTTCATTCCCTTTTCGGATTGCACATATTTAAAGACAGAAAAAAATGGTAAGGGATCAGCTCTTTCTTGACTTTAATACCCTTGGTCAAAGTCAGCAGGTTTTAAAGATATTAATGCTGCTTTCTCCCATTTTGGTGACCTCCAGATACACAGAATTAAAATCTCCATGATTCCCAGCCTTTTCAAAATAATCAGTGGTTGAAAATGATTCTCCAATGAATCTAGCAAACATCCAACTGAGAAAGGTGCTTGTTCTGGGGTTTGCTAGAAATGTACCGTATATTCCGGCATATAAGACGACTTTTGAGAGCGTCAAAACAGCCTCCGAACTCGGGGGTTGTCTTATACACCGAGTCGTCTTATACGCCGGAAATAAGATAGTTTCTGGCATATAATACGACTTGCTAGGCATATGCAACTCGGCGTCGATCGTCTTATACGCCGGAAATACTGGTAGTTTCCGGCGTATAAGACGTATGCGACTCGGCGGTGATCGTCTTGCGACTCAGCGGCGATTGTCTTGCAACCCGGCATCGAACTAGGGGGTCGCATTATACGCCAGGTCGCCCTATATGCCAGAATATATGGGTATATGGTGTTTGAAATTCAGATTGCCTATAAAATGAAAGTTTTAAAATAAGTACGGGAGATGATGAGTTTAAATCATTTGGTAAACTACTATGGAATAAATTATTCTGGACATGATTCCTAAAAACAATATAGTAAAATAGCTTCTGTCTCTTGGTCACACTAAATTTCCAAAGAAAACAGCTAGTGTAACTGAGATGGTTAAGCTATTTGGGGAGACTTGAGTTCACTAGTCCAGCCACTGTCTCTCAGCACAAACTACCACACACAAAATAGTTGTAGCGGGGGCTGGGGGGGGGATAAAAAAAACTGGAGGACAGTGCCCTGTATTTCACCTTGAGTGCCATAGGAAAAACAGGATAATAACTAGGCACATGCTAATTATTGCAAATTCAGAACAGTTGTTTTGAGTTTGAAATGGATTGCTCCTTGAAACATTTCCAAAATGCTAGGATTGGCTATGAACTCGAAATGCTTCAAATTTTGCATACCAAAACCAGTAATGCATCTGTTACTTTTATCCTCTGGGGGCACCTTTCTTTCACATGGGAAGCTTACTAGGCTCACCCAGCAAATTAATCCATGATCTACTTCTTTATGATTTAGCAAATGAGTTGCAACTCATTAAACTAGAAGCCATGTCTTAGAAGCTACAGTGACTGGGTTCATAAAACTTACCAGGCCATGAACAAGAATTCAGCTACAGAGACCTTCCTTCTGATCCAAACTGAGGTCTGTCTGGGGAACGTTAGCCCTGTTATTGCCTTCTCCAACTATGACCTGATTCTCTCCCCTGAGACAAAGGAAGTAATATGGCAGGAGACTTCTCCTTAGCCCAGCACAACTAGTAGGGCCATCATTGTTGGAAACAGGTTTTTAGACAATTTAGCAGGACACAATTGATCTTCTCTATCTCTCAAGGCTTGGCCTGTGGACACCTTACCCAGAGCTTTCGGGACTGGCTACAAATCAACCTTGGGAACTTCAGCCAATATGCTGAATATCATGATTTGCTGAGCTGGAACCTGTATTTTGATGGAGTGAGTAGACATAATTTAAAATGATCACAGCTAACCTTGTTGCAAAACTTACTCTACACAAAGAAAAAAGGAGGACCATGTAAGTCTTGCAGGCTGCTAAGTTATTAGGAATTCTCCTTCTTCCCCTTATTATCATCTCCATGCTGCTCAAAACCAATGGGTAAAAGCTTTATCCAGACAGAGATCCAAACTTGGAATAAGGAAGAATTTCTTGATAATAACTAGTGGTGCAACAATTGTGCCTCCTAGAAGTACTCATGTTTTCAAGCAATTCATGATCATTTGCTCTGGGTCCTTTTCCTCCCCTTCTAGATGGCTGTCTTAAAATATTTGTCTCCATCACAACTTGCATCATTCACTCTGGAATCCGGAGTCATCATCAACAAAGAGCACATGTGCCAGATCCTTGCAAAATTGAAGAACAAACCATTGACAGACATTTATGAATATTTGGATCAATTCAACACAGTGGCCCAGAAGGTATGACATTTGAACAATGCAGGTAATCCTTAGGTTATGATGGCAGTTGGAACAGGAATTTCCATCACTAAAGCATCACATTGTGGGACTACAGTCCTGCAGGACCATGGGGGTCATTACGCAGGAAGAGGTAGAAGTCCCACACAAGCAGGTGGATGGGGTATGGGTGCCACAAGCAAGTGCTATGCAGCATGAGTGGTGAAAAGTGGGAGCAGGAAGCTGGCGGGGAACATGAGAAATTGCCATCACATGATGGTGGGATGCTGTAATGTCATAATTACAAACAGAGCACCAGAGATACTGCAACAACCAGAACTCCAAAGACCAGTTCTATTTACATACTCAAACAAGGTCTTCTTTTCCCCAGCCCAAACCAACTTTCTCGTTTCCTGCTGTTCTTAGTTCTTCCTCAAGCACTTAGAATTATTTCAGCTTTCCAAATGCCTGAACTGAGCAAGAGAAGCAGAATTGGATCAGCAATCAGTTATTTACATCAAGTTTTAAACAAATCCTAATAATTAAATGGTGGTTCTATTTTCTCTTTTTAAATGCACAGCTTGGAATAACATCCCTGAAAGATGAAGGCATACAAAAGCAAATGCTTGTGCAGTTTCTTGAGGGAACTGAGGGCACATTCTCAACATTTGCTCCTGAAAACTGGACCCACTTGCTGTCAACAAGACTGGGCCTCCTTTTGCCAAGCATTAGTGAAAAGGAATCTCAAGGGATCTTGTCTTATGTTTCTAGTTGTGATAGCTTCAGAGCTGTGTGAGTATAAAGCAAAAGGCAAAAGAAGATGACAATCCACTTCGGGGATATTTGGAGGGGGGATCAGAGAAGTTAAGGACCACACCATCAAAGTATCTGTATCAAAGTACTGAGATAGACCAATTGGCCCAAAGATCCCCGTTCTCTAGTGAACGGGAATGGGGCAGAAATTTCCTCTAATTTGAGGTTTTGTACTAGTTATTATACAATTTGTATCATTTGTGCAATGACATTACATAATGTCGTTATGGCTTATACCTAAGTAGACTGCTATCATAGTTCTTTTACAGCTTCTTTGGTTACTGCTTTGTTTTTAAACCTCTATGTTACATTTCTTGAGCCACTGTAAAACATCCTCAGTATCAAGTGGATATTTGTGACACCATATTTCTTGTGTCCAGGGTATCCTCTGTCGGCCAAGTTTATCCTTCTATTCCACTGGCCAATCGAAAAGGCATTTACGATACTTTATTTGCTTTCCTCGACACCCAGCACAAAATCACAGGTAATTGCCATCATATGGATTTTGCAGGTCTGCAGTGAAAATTACAAGGAAGAGATATGAGATACAGCCAACCAATCAGCAGGGCCTATGCTCATTCTACTGATGCAAGCAGGCACCAATGCTCTTTATGCAATACTCCTATAAGAAGGGAATGGCAAACTATTCCAATAGTGTTGCCAAGATTACTGTTTGGATGTGTCCATGAAGTCATGAAGAGTTGATTCAGCTTAATGGAAACTTAATTTTTTTATAGAAAAAAAAACCATGTTTGGTTTGCACATGATATCAAGAGTGTCAAGATTGATTATTATTCCTTATAGAAAGCCAACCTAAAAAAAATGACGCTCCAGTTGGATATCTACTTAGAATGTATTTTTCTATCCTTTGACATGACAGGATCTGCATGTTCTTCTCACACCAAGAGTACAGAGTCCTGGCTGCAAGACCACCTTGGGCCATTTGTCAAACAAGCTTCTTATGAAGATTTGACCAAGCTGCTGGCCAGCTTCAGTGCGGTACTATAGCCGAAATATTTCACTCTCTTGTCCAGCTTTCATCCTATCCTCTCACATACTTTTTTGTTATGTGCTTCTAACCATGTTTTGCTGCTCATCTGCACATTGATTCTTAATTTAGGATAACAGAATAACAGAGTTGGAAGGGATCTTGAGGTCTTCTAGTCTAATCCCCTGCTCAAGCAGGAAACCTTATACCATTTCAAACAAATGGTTGTCCAATCCCTTCTTTAAAACCTCCAGTGTTGGAGCACCCGCAACTTCTGGAGGCATCATTCCATTGATCAATTGTTCTGTCAGGAAATTTCTTCTAGGTTGGTTCTGATAGAACAAATACACCAAAAAATACTAATGATAGTAACATTTGAGAAGCTTCCTTTCACTTCTATTCTTAGATATCATAGAACGAGTATACCACGGAATAGTAAAAACTTTGAAGAAAGTCTATTACAAAAATTGTCCTTAAACATGCTTACAATGCCAGGGGGTTTTATTCTCTCAACAATTGGATAAGCTCAAACAATGGATAGTCTCCAGAATTTGATTCACAAAAATGCCAGGCAAAAGGGCAAAACTTATTGCCCTTTTCCCCACTCCCCCCCCCCCTTTGGAATGCTCATCCTGGTGCTGGGATAATTAACAAGAAGGCAATTCATGTTCCTATTGACACTCATTGGAAAGGAAAGGATTGCAAGTAAGAGGAATTCGTGAGCACTGGTATTTTGTCTGGTGCACTTGAAACTGGAAGCACATCAGTTTCAGGACTGAGCTTATGAATTTGCATTAGCACTTATTAGAAAAGTGCTCTGCTATGAAAGGCAGTTCAATATGGAAAAGCTTGTTTATGAGGGATGAAAAAAAATGCTTCAGGCACAGGACATCACGGGTATCTGTGGGTGGATCAAAATCTGCAAGATGGTGGGCATTTTGTTATGATTGAAGATCTAATCCTTTTCTATGAAAAAAGAATGGAAAGGGAATGGGTCTTAAATCACAACCTAGCACCTGCCATCTTCCATATTTTTACCCTCCTTTTGTACATTCTTGCTTTCAAAGGTTTTGGATTCTTCTTGACAAATCCATTCTTTTTTTGAAAAAATAAATTTATTACTTCACATAATTTACATAATATAATATACATACATACATACATACATACATACATACATACATATGCAGTAGCCATTAGATGTCATATTTAAATGAAAGAGGGCAAAGAACTACATTGCCCATGCCAAAATTATTCCACCTGCAAGGCAGACTTAGGGACAGAGTGGGTTTCCAATTTCACCTAAATTCTACCTCGCTCTTCTGATGACCTCATCACTAGTCATGTTACTTGCCTCACTTGTTCAAGCTACAGATAGCCATGGTATGGCTGGTAATCTGCATTTGGACTCTAACCTTTGAGAAGCTTCCTTTCACTTCTATTCTATCCATTTTAGTCCTCCAAGAAAGGAGGACTCCAAGAGCCCTTTCTGGCCTTTTGTAGCAAGAGGCTTTGAGCTGAAAAAAGAAACTGTAACCTGTCTATGGAGATTCTCAGTCATCTAGGTCACAGTTGTCCCAAAGGTGCTTTTTCAGGAGGCAACTGGACTTTCTTGGTTTTATTTGCCTCTCATCCAAGAAGCTTCTTCAGCTCTGATTGGATGGTGGGGAATGGAAGGATTTATATTCCTTGCAGACATTTATCATATATTTACAGTTGCATTCATTTGCATTCTTTTAGAGTCATAAACATTTTAGAGAGTCAATGAATACTTTTTGAATGGTGCTGGAGTATGAATGGATTTCCAGAAAACATTGCAGACTAGAGGAACCATATGCGCTTCAGTTTAATTCAGACAACACAGACTCATTCCCAACAGCCTGCATCTGTCTTCAACGCTGAAGGGACACAGGGCAAAAAACATCCTGCAACCAAGAAGGCTCCACACATTTGCACCACTCAGGTGACCTGAGGACAAAGATAAACCTCCAAATGGCTTCACATAATTTACATAATATAATATACATACATACATTTGCATCTAAAAAATGCAAATGACCAAATCCTTCCATTCCCCATCATCCACTCAGAGCTGAAGAAGCTTCTTGGATGAGCAGCTAAACTTCTTCAAAGAAAAACAAGGAAGTCCAGTTGCCTCCTGAAAAAGCACCTTTGGGGAAACTAATATAGATTCGTCAATCTTTCAGACCTCCATATGTTCTACAACAGTGGCCTGAGATGTCTTTTTCTAGGCTTAGTTTCTCTATGATTAGGGTGGGACAGAACAGATCAAGCTCTAGATTTTGGCTCACTTTGGCAAAGCAAAGAAGGAACATTCATGCTTGTTTGTTCCCCTCAAAAGTCAAAACCAAAGACAGAAAGGCTGGAGAACATCTTGGTTGGCTTTAGCCCACCAAAACTAAGAGATATTCAAGTCTAATGACAGCATTTTAGGGAACATGAAAAAAAAAACCCAATTGTTACTCCAAGCATTAGATCTTGAAGCTTCTTCTTCACTAGATTAGCAGGAGAACATGAGAATTAACAAGACTGATCTGATGCAGCAGATGGCAAACTATCTCACTGTCACATCTCAGGTCACAAGCACATATTTAATCAAACTTGAGAAATGTTAACATGTTCTTTCTGTTAGAATGTTCTTTCTAACCAAAGAATGAGCTGATATTTCTTTAAAAAGAAAATTAACAGATTAAAACTCTATTTAGAAAGGTAATTTTTAGGTCCAGAATTGAGCTTTTCACTTCTGACTGTCTTTTGCTTGAGTCATGATGGAGGGAATTAGTTTTTTAAAAAAAAAAAAAATCTAAGTCTTATCTTTAAATGCAAGTTGGGTATATGCGCACAATATAATCTTCAGAAAGGAATAAGCTGCAACATCACATTCAACAAAAATGAAGACATCAATAGTACAGTAATAAAAGAAATTTTCCCTCAAAAAACTATATTTGTTTATCATGTATTTATCATATATTTACAGTTTGAAATCAAGGATAATCTCACCTCTATCCAACTTGCTCACGTCTTTTTTGGCTCTAACATCCTGCATAATCCTGATATGGTCCGTGCACTTCTGATGCCTTTAGAGAACAGGTCTCTGGAAGAGACTTCTGCTTTTGTGTCAGAGTTTGTCCTCATTGCATCACAGGTAAGTTGTCTTTAATCAGCTTTGTCATCAAAACATATTGCCTACAGGGATTCAATACTGCAGCCTTTAGGCCCCTTATCATCATTGTTGCTTTTCTTTGCACTCTTTGCATTCCCCTATGCAACTTTCTAAGTAGCATCTTAAACCTCAGGCCAGAGCAGTTTCATTTCATGTGGTCCCCAGTCTGATTTCAGAAGTCATTTGCAAGGGATCAATCCAGATGCAGAAGAATTGATACACCCCACCCCAACAAGTTGTTGCAGGTAAAAGAGAAGAGAGGATGTTGGAAGAGAAAGAATCTGAAAGAAAATGAATAGAGGGCTTCACTCCCTTTTGGTTTTGATTAGTCTGCTACTTGCTTCAGTTCCACCCATTTGCAGGTGAGACAATCCATCCAAGATTAATTCCAAGTACAATTGGAGCTTGAAAAGATTCCCCCAACTCTGATTTAAGGACACATGAAGCATCTGGAATTCCTTCTGGCTTATTTTAATTAATGGAATAGATTCAATAATTGTTTTGGTCCAATGCATAGGATCAAAAACAGCTCCCAAAGGCTAGCAGGATCTTTGAAGCAATGAACTTGGCTGGGCTTTACCTTTTCAGCAACCTCATCCCAAATTTGGAGATTTGGATCACAAGAGTGGAGCCAAGGGCCTGGACTGCCCTTGCTTAGCAAGAAAAAGCAAAATGGCCATTGGGTTCTTCCCAAAGCTGCATTTATTTTATTTTATTTTCCCCTACCACTTAGGTTGATACTGTTTTTACAATCTCTTGATTTGATTATCTGTTGTCCCGTGGTCTGTATTTCTCTGCCATTTTGGTTTGAATTATTAATTAGAGGATCTGTGGGGTGTCAAAGAAATCAAGATGGTGGCCACAATGCCCTCCTTCCTCTGTTTTTTTTTTGGGGGGGTGAACTGGTTAATGTGAATTGTCTATTTGTGTTTCTACTTGTCAGAAGGGAGTGATGTTCCTGGAAAACACAGATGTGAGGTTTTTGATGCTTGAAACCTTTTTCTACAAGATGCAAGATTTGTTCCCCAGTGCCTCTGTCTCCCAGTACAAAGATTGGTTCCAGAGTAAGCTGATTCTGTGGCTGCCCAGTATGAATGCCACCACCCTTGCAATGATCCCCAAAACTATCCCTTGTGGCACTTTCAAAGCTATGTGAGTAATTTGCTCATTGACAGATTTAAAAGGGCTTCAAATGAGACTAAGGGAAATAAGCAAATTGAACAGCTGCCTGTTTTTTTATTATTATTTTTTTATAAAGAATTTTTATTATTTTTCCATTTTACACCAACAGAAGCTTAAGAACCAGCGTGGCGATATGGTGGTCAATTACAAAAAGAAAACAATAACATTATATATATACAATTCACACAATGTTTCTTAAAACTCTCTCTGTAGAATATTATAATCAAATAGATTCAAATAAATTAATTCATTAATATATCTAAGTATAAGTTTCCTTAATCAATAAAAACTTTCAACCCCTCAATATCAATATAATAATCAAATTAGTACAATCCTATAGTCAATTCATTCATTAATATATTGCTGCATATAAATTAAATGCTTAAATCAAAACTAACACTCTATCTATTTAAATTATTATAGTCTCATTAGTACATTTCTAACACAGATTTTCATTAAATATATTGTCGGATATAAATTTCATTAGTCAATAAACATTTACAAAAGCTCCTTATCTATCCCAAAGATCCTGTTTTAGACTTTACTAATTTTTTCAAATATTTAAATTTAAACTAACCTATTTATTTTACTATTCAGGGCCCCCAAATTTCTCTTATTTAAACATATTAGCTCCAAAACTAAGTTCCTACATTTCTCAGCTATATTTCTATTCTTTTTCAATAATTCTCCAATTATTAATTCCACCTCATTCCAAAACAAAAACCACAAAAAGAGGAAAACACACACACCCACACAAACCACATATTCTTGCTATACTTCAATATTAAATTCTAAATCATTTCATAATAGCCTCCCATTTAACAAAAAACAAATCCAAGACAGTCCAAATCGCTATAAAACCTTTACCATCCATAATTATCATCTCAGATTTAATATTTATATCTTATTCTGGGTTTCCTTCTATTCCAAATAGGTTTCCATAGTCGAGTCTCTAGTTCCGCAAATAGTTCTCCCATTGTCTCCTGCCACACTGTACATAACAACAAGAGGTCTCCCATTATCCATTTTCTTAGGCTGATATAAAAGTTATAGTCATTCTGAAAAGCTTGTGCCATAATGTCATTTCCCATCTTTTTTAAAGTTGCATAAACTTTAGTTGAAATAATTTTTTTAGTATAGTCCTCTTTAGTCAAGTTTTGCTCTTCTTCCAATAGTTTTTCCTCTATCAGAAAGTCGAATGGTATCTGCAAATCAGTTTGTCCTTCTGGAGTAAACTCCTCCATTTCCTTGTTTATAGGTCATCTGACCATTTATATCAAGGCTTTTTTCTGGTATCAATTGATAATCCAACTGTACATTTGCTTCTTCCATCTCAGTGAACTGAGAGTAAGTCTTTTGAATACAAACTACAGTTTCACTTAAAGCTTGTGCATGACTTTGTCAATATAAAGAAATCTCCTTTTTGCAGGCAATTATCATCTCCGTGTTTTCTAAGATTTTATCCAAAATATATTTATAAATAGAATCTGAATGGGTTTCCTCCATTTTTATCATATTTGAAGACATTATCTTTTGGGGGGAGATTGTGTTTAAACACAATCAATCAATATACATCTCCTCCCAAGTTTCTTAGTCTATTTCCTTTATGCAAATTCCAAGAGAACGGAAAAAAATAGCAAGAACAATACATATTTTCAGCAGAAGATATCCCCTGATGAATAATCAAAGTTAATCAAATAATCAGTCTTTTTGGAGAACATAAAGAATAAAAGAAAATAATACTCTTCAGATACATAGCCTCTTAAGTCTCTCTAAAAAAAAAAATTGGGGGGGGGCTCCCAAGTATTCAAAAATAGAATCAGCCATTAAAACAAAAATAGATTTTGTCCTTTTCTTAAGCTCCTCCTCCCTCGTTTAATAAAAACTTCAATAAAAAAAGAAATAATTCCACAAAGAAAAAACTTTTCACAGGAAAAAAAAAAGAAAACAGAGGTAAAAAAAAAATCTCACCAAATCTTCCATGGTGGGTCTGCTTGCTTAGATGATCTTATGGCTTACGGTTGGCGCAGCTAAATGATCGGCCATTTTACTGGCCAATCTTTACCCTGTTGGCCCAAAGGAGATGTATTTCTTTGAGTTACCCATATCTGTATTCAGAACTGCACTGTTTCTTCCTTGTCAGATGTTAGCAGATTTGCTGCTGTCTCTCTTTGATGGATTTGTACTGTTGAAAGAAAAATCTTTATCAGGGTCCAGTCCAAGCCGGGAATAAACAAAATGGAGACTGAATTAGAAAGAACATTGTAGTTTATTGAAGAGCAGAATCACAACAGCATGTGGCTCTGGAGCAGTTGACCACATGTTGCTGGGAGTGGTGGGTTTTTATATTTCTTTGGGCTTTTGTGTTTGGAGTTGTTCCTGTGGCATGAACTTTGACTTGAGGTTCAGTATGCCCTTCTGGTATTCTAAGGATGGTGGGTTAATCCTATTATGTCCTAAAGGTCATGTCCTGCTTCCCTGGGGCTGTGGCTGATGGCTATGTCTTGTGTTGGATGGGTGAGAGGTTGCTGGTTCTAGGGATCTTTGTCTTTCTAATCCCATCAGCTCTAAACTTCCTGGCTCCAGTCTTTCTGAAAGGATTATCAAATCTGCATTTCTACAGAAGCTTGGGAGATGATTTCTGCCTTTTAAGATCTTTTCCATTATTCCTTTGGGGAAATATATTCTGCCTTTTTAATATTCTCCAAAATATTTATTTATCTGGGGGGGGGGTGCTGTTTTCCTATAGTAGAAATGTTTCTGATTAGATTGAAATTGGAGATTCTGCTTATTATTTGCAAATCCAGCTTCATATCTGCTGATCTTAGCTATAGTTTTTATTTGCTGCTTTGTTATTTCCAGTGGCTTCCTTGATGTTCCTTGTTTCTAAGTAATATTTCTTGATTAGATATTCTTTGATCTTCATGTTCTTCAGCTTCTTTTGTCCCAAAAGTTGATTTTCAAAAGGCAACTGGACTTCCTTGGGTTTTTTCCTTGAAAACATTTCACTTCTTATCCAGGAAGACATCCAGCTTCTTCTCTTTCATCAGTTCTAGCTTGCTTGCATCTGATCTCAGCTTGCTGATCTTATTATCCAGGCTGATCTTCCATTTTGGTGATGTACCATTTGGCTTTTTTAATCCTTTGTTGATTTTGTGTCCCAGCCCTTCAGTTATAACTGCAGCAGTGATATACATTAGTTATTTTGTTTCTTACAGTGAGCTGGAGCTTATATTATAGTACTGACATCTTTTGATGCTTTTGTGAGCTGTTTCTTGGGAACAAGCTTCTATGCGGCCAATCTTATTCTGTTATTTTTGCGCTGTTCTAGATGCTCAGTTATTCTTTCAGTTGTTTGACTTCTTTAGTTGAGAGCTTTGTTCTTTCCGAGCAAAGAAGAGGGTGCCTGGTGTCTGAAAACAATTCTATAGCTGTACTGGCTTTCTCTACAACCAACTCTCCCTTTTCTCTGCACAGTCTGAATTACTTCTGGCAAATACTTCTTTGCCCTGGGTAGACCTTTGCAGTTCTTCCAATTCTGCTTCTGGGAATACTTTGTTTCATATTGGAAATCATTATTTGCTAATCTCTGCTCTGTTATTTATGATTGTGGACGTTGTTCTTTCCAGAACTGGTGCATTTGTTTCAACTATCATCTTCTTCTTGGACTTGATATATAATAACAGATCATTATTACTTTGTTTTCAATATCTGTATATTTGCAACGGAGAAACAGCTTTCCTCCCAATAGTTCTGCAGCTGCTGGATCTGCTTGCTCAGCGAACAGTCCTGAGTCCTTGTAGCCCATTTTTCACCAGAGGTCCAGAACTCCAACATCTAGCATAGTCCTTGTTGATCCAGGAAGCGACAGAGCTGGTATGGGTTTCTGTAATTTACATCTCACCATATTTTTTATGGGAGAGACACTCTTTGTGTGACTCCTCTGATGAGACTTGCAGAGTGTGGTTGAAACTCTGGCATAGCTCTCACCTACCTCAGAGGACACAAGCCCCACAACCACATCAAGGTAGTGCCTCGTTGATGGTAATATTATTTTAATTATTATTTTTAATTATTAATAAATCCTTACAACTCTTTTTTCTGTATTCTGTTTCCAAATCTAGGAATCAAAACTTTCTTTCTCTCCCTATCACCGTGGCATCTAAAGATTTGATCTATTTCCATTTTTTCTCCCTGCTCAGAATGGCTGGCTTGGATGGGAGTTTTCCACATATGTCACCAGAAAATTGTCAAGATGTTTACAAGTTTGCCATAGACTATTTGACTTCCAAGATTTCTCAAGGAGGTAAGAACTACAAACTTCTTTTTTTTACTAAAAGCTACTATAATAAAAAGCAAATCAGATAGAACTCAGGATGGACCTAAAAGCATAGAGAACAAACTTGGATTGTGCCACTTCAAACATGTATGCTTAATATTTCTCCTTATATAGGTAGTCCTCACTTAACAATCGCATCTGTGACCAGGAATTCTATCACTAAGCAATGTGTTTACTAAGTGAAACTGTAAGGACCCACCCCACTTTGCATCTTAAGAAGACAGAACTCTTGGAATAATTCTTCCAACAGGAATCCTTTATTAAGAAGAAGTGGTTGCAGGCATGCTAGACAGGACTTGGGGTCCAAGCTCTCCCATTCAAGGTTTTAAGGGGTTCCCCAGCAGTCCAGTGATAGTTTCAGGCATCACAATTCCACCCCCTTGCTCCTTTCTTTCGTCTGTATGGAGACTTCAGATAACTACATGAAAGGTAATTAGCTCTCTTTTGTCATGGTAAAGTTCTTTGATGCTATTTACATTCAAAGTCTCTCTTTGAAGTTGCAATAAACACATTCAGCTCCCTAGAAGTCTACTGAAGGAAGTAGACTCCCTCTTATGGCAGAATCCAGAGAAGGCAGAATTGGGAGTTTCTATATTTGATAATTAAAGATGAAATATAATTGGATTCTGACAGAAACATCACATGACCAACAGGCTTCTGCTTAGTCTTTAAGTGAGTCACTGCAGTCATTAAGCGAGATATCACATGATGTGACTTGCAATTTTATTGCCAACTTCTCCACTGAGTCTTCTTTTTTTAAAAAAAAACAAATTTTATTGGTTTTCAAATTTTACGTTGAGTATTCAGAAAGAAGCGTGGTGACTGGGTAATCAATGGTTCAATAACAAAATCTTTAGTACATATTTCAGGTTACATCATCAAAAATTCTTTCTCTATTTCCCTTAAAATTTGTTATATCACATTTAGGCTAATAGATTTTTATTTATAACAAAGTTAATTAAACCTTTATCACTATATTTTGCTAATACATATCCATATCCTGTTTTTAAGTTTTACCTAATTTTTAATTTTTTATTACACTATTCCAATTTAACCTTTAATATCCATAGTGTTTAAATTTCAGGTAGTCCAAATTTTCTTTATTTCACTACATATTCATATCTATATTCATATCTAGAATATACATATATTCTTACCTTATTTCATAAACATTTTCTATTTCTCATCCTAATACAGTGGTTCTCAACCTGTGGGTTAGGACCCCATTTGGGGTCGAACGACCATTTCACGGGGGTCGCCAAACAAGGCTGTCCGCCATTGTTTCCTCCTTTTCTTTGGCCATACCCCTGGCACCCGGTGATGTATAAGTGGTTGGGGGTCACCACAACATGGGGAACTGTATTATGGGGTCGCGGCATTAGAAAGGTTGAGAACCACTGTCCTAATACATCATCACTTGCTGATAGAGTGTCCTTTATTGTCTCAAGTCCATCATCTATATTATTTGGGGTAAACAATAGTTCGCAGCTAATTCCTAATCGTTAATTTTTATTTCCCTTATAAGTCTAAATCCTAAATATTAAGCCAGTTAATCCCTTATTTTTTATCATTTAACAAGAATATTTAAATGCAATAATCATATTTCCCTACATCTAAAAATCTCTCTTTAGCCCATTAGTTGAGACTTTAGGATCCTCTGTCATAAATTAAAAAATCCCATTTTTTTAAATCTAACTCTGGCTTTCTTTTATTGCCAATCAGGCTTCCATACCAATGCCTTTAAATCATCAGATAGATCTCCCTTCATTCTTGCACATATTGCTTGAACCAAAGGAGACCATCTAGTTATCAATTTTCCAGAAGAGCTGGTCCATTCATAGTCGTTAGGCTGTTGTCCTGGTGGCTCCTTCAGTACAATTTGGTCATCTTGTTCCTCAGGTTTCCTCTGGTTTAGGTAGAGAGTTACATCCGGCTTTAAAGTTGTTATTTGGTTATCTAGGTTTTCAGTATGCTGTATTTGTTGGTCTTTAACAGCCTCCATGTTGGTGTTGCTTTGTTGCTTTTGGGGTTGTAAGTTCTTTTTTTTTCTTGTAAAAATTTTTATTTTCAACTTTACAATACATAACAATCTTACAAATACTTCAGATAAAAAATAAAACAAATTGATACACACCACATTCGGTCTTGCCCGCCCATTTCCCCCCAAACCGCATCCCACCTCAAACCAACTTACTTCTTTCCCTCTTTTTCACTCACCCCCTCTCCTCCTTCACCTCAACCTTCCTACATACTTCTCACCTTCTTCTCCTCCCTCGGGTTGTAAGTTCTTTAGTTGTGGTCAGGGTTTGTCTGTCAAGGTTTTCAGTAAATTGTATTTGTTGATCTTTAAGTTCCTCTGCCTTGGTATTAGTTTCTTCCACCTCGTTTGGTTTTTGGACTGTAGGTTCTTTTGTTGAATTCAGAGTTTCATTTTCTAGATTTAAGCTGGCACTGGATTTAATTATTTCAGTAGCTTCAAGAATTTTTTCAAGTATAAGTTTATAGTTAAGTTGTGGCTGGTCTTCCTCCATTTCTAAGACAGTTATGTATAATCCTTTAGTGAAGGCTATTTCTTAGATAAAAGTCAGTAAATGTTCACTTCTACAGTTCCTATAAAGCAGTGGTTCTCAACCTGTGGGTCGGGACCCCATTTGGGGTCGAACGACCATTTCATGGGGGGTCGCCAAACAAGGCTGTCCATCATTTTTTCCCCTTTTCTTTGGCCACGCCCCTGGTACCTGGTGATGTATAAGTGGTTGGGGGTCACCACAACATGGGGAACTATATTATGGGGTCGCGGCATTAGAAAGGTTGAGAATCACTGCTATAAAGCAATTTCACTGTCCAGCTGTCCTCCTAGCTTTTTATCTCTTTTAGATAGTACCAAGGACAAATCTGGGTTATAAGCAGGTCACTTTAAGAAAAGTATTTACTTGCTATACCAAGCTTGGCCACAAGATGTCCCTGACAGCATTTAGAATCTTTTTCAAGACCAGGCTAGGTTTTTATTCTTTTTCATAGATAAAGTAACAGGTCCCCATGAAGATAGGAGTTTTGGATCCCCAGATAGCAAGGTAAAATAAATCCAGTTGCTTAATTGTATTTTTCAAGGCTTTGTTTTCCCTGCATAGTCAGGAGCCACCATTTTAGAGGGTGGGAAAGAAACATTCCCTTCCCTCTCTCCTTGCAGGGGAGAGAAATTTCAGAGGGCTTTTGACAGGAAAGTACTTGGGATACAAGAAGGTAAAGTCTCACCCAGTTCCTCTGCGTTGCTTTCAAGTGCTTGGTTGTGAATTTGGCCTCGGCAGGTCAATGATGGTGAATGGCCAACTTAATGATGGTGAATGGCCAATCTTTTCCCTGTCGGTCCGAAGAGCTGCTCCAGATCAAATGGAAGGGCTGCCGCCCTTCCACGATCAAACAGGAGGTCCTCTTTACGGTCGTCGCCCCTCCAAGGTGACTTTCGACCCCTTTCAGGGTCCCCGATGGGAGAAAACCAGACGGCAGAGGGAGTGGTCACTCTACACATCCGCCAGCACCACGATCCAGAACCGGAAGGCTCCCACTGAATTTTCTTGTTGGAAGCCAGTTGTGAAGCACACAAATAACAATCATGTGATCATAGGACATAGTGACAGTTGTAATGTGAGGACTGGTTGTAAAGTTACTTTGTCAGCACCATTGTAACTTAAGCAGTCACTAAACAAGATAATAGTTAAACAAAGACTATCTGTAAAGAAAACTCTTTATACTTTATAAAGAAATTGGCCCAACACAAAGCAGCTCAAACTCTCTTATATGTTATCAAAATTGCTATGTGTTGTGAGTTGCTTTTTTAAAACAAAGAAATATTTCTTTGCTTCCAATGAGATCCGTTCTTATGGAGACAAACTCTAAATTTGTCAAAATGCTTTATATGATTCCATTGGATGGGCACTGCCAGAATTAATGTCAGAACAGAACACCTTACGATTCCACAGCTGCCTCAGAGATTTCTCACAGGGAGGTGTTAAAAAAGTCAAGGTGACATCTGCAGTTTTAGTTTTACTAGCAGCATGTCAGAAACTATGCTTTGATTGCAGGGTCACCACCACTTTTTGACTCCCAGATGCTCTCAGATTCCATATAATACATATATTATATACATATATTATCTACATATTTTTGAAGGGATGATCATGTAGTGCTATTCAAGGGTTTTGTCTCCCCTAATTGTAAAAAATGTAATTTTTTTGAAAAAAAGTGAAAAGGCCTTCCAGTCTCCATAAATGCAACGTCTTTGTGATATTATTTTTTTTCTTTTTCATAATTTTTTATACAATTTAACTGGGATATTTTATCAACTTCCTTATTTTCAATTAAAAAATTAGCAATTAGATATGTTAAACTATAAGCACAATAGAATTTAAAATTGTTTTAAACCTGCATTTTGCTCTGGAATAGGAGATATGTCAATTCTGATTCCTTACAATTCTTCCTTTTTTTTCCAGTCTGATATGTTTGGTACTCCATACTTGAGAATCCTTTTTTAAAACGTTTGTCCTGAAATCACTTGTTTTTTTTTTCAATTTTGCCTCATTTTTTTTGCTAATTTTTTTTTCCAAATAAAACACATTTTTTTCATGAACCCTGTATGTGCCTTTTGATGAAGACTTCCCTCTGTTACAGTTTTGGCAAGCTGAATTGCAGATTCAGGTGTATTTCAAATAACTAAGTTTAAATTTATGTATATAAAGAACACAAATTTCTTACCTATACCTAGCTTGTATCTACCATTTTGATTTCTATGGAGATCCCCTGTGGAAAATAGAAGGAAGAAAAAGAAGATAAGAAATTTTGAAGAATTTAGAAAAAAATATTTAAAATTTTAAGTGTTGAAAAATAATATGTGTGGTTCTTAATTGTGTGCTTTGTGAGCAGTAGTCTCTCCATCTCCTCCCCTTTTTAGCCCTTTAATCCACAGACCCACAGAAGCATCACACCATTTTCTGATATTACCTTTTATCTTTCCAGGTGATCCTTGCATTGAAAATACCCGGGGCAGCTTGGACTGGTTAAATGCCAATTTTAAACACTTCAGCAGATTAGCCACTTATCCAGACCTGGTTGGCCTGAATCCAGATTTTAATGCAGTAAATAAAGGACGGGCTAGAGGAGGAGGAGAAAAATGAGGGAGGCTGAAAAGGATATCGGGTTCAGCCTGAAATTCCTTTGAATAAGAATCACCTTAAATTTGTTTCCACAGCTGGATGCAGTGGCAAGTCTCTCACCATGGCAACTGGCTGACTACACATTACAAGGTGGTGTTCTGCGTGACACAGACAAAGCCCGGAAGGTCTTTGGGGCTCTTGATTCACAGGATATTGCAGAATTTATGGATGCTTTCAATGCTGCTGCCAAGCAGGTCAGGCATATACAAATTGACACATATGCACACATGCACGCGCACACACACACACACACAAACACAGCTTCCTTCTTTTCACAGTCCCTCAGTAACCCTTCATGATAAGGGGACAAGGAAAGGACTGAATTTCATTGACACCTGTGTCATGTTCATAGGGAGGAAGGGATAGAGTACAATGGAAGGAACTTAATCCTCCAATTTATTTTGGCTATTTAGCCTGGATGAGAGTCACCATCCTCAGAATAGTCTGGAAAAATCCTTATAAATGTATAATTCACTTATTTCATAAATGGCAGCATAGCCCCGCTGTAAAAAGACTCAAGATGTTCAAAGACTCTCTTTTAACAAATTCACTTGCACAAGAGGGTTGGAGATTCCTATCACAGTTTGCAAGGTTTTATACTTTATAACTTAATTTTTGCATTAAAACGCCTTATTGAAATCCATAATTCTTATTCTGTTGATTGTGCCTTGATTTGGCTATTCAGTCTGGACTCTAAAGGCATGCCAACTGAATCTTTAAATTGAACTAACCAATTGAATCAGATTCAATTGAATTGGATGCTTTTAGCTATTTAGAAGGCTTTGTGCCTAAAAGCTGCTTTTTCAAATCTCCTGGGAAAATCAAATGTTATAAATTGATGTGATTCTGGGGACCAAAGAGTAGATTCTATGAGTCTTGTATCTTTCTATTTGATCTGAACATTTCAGTCTGGATACTATCTTGGAGCAGAGGGAATGCATCCCATACATGTCACCTTAAAGGAAGGTATGACCCTTGCTTAGAGAAGAGGCCTAGAACAAGGCTGCTAATAAGAAGGACCACCTTGACTCACCTGGTTAGGGGAGGGTGCCGCAAAATGTAAGATGGCAGCTACATCTGGATGATTGGCACCTCACCCTTTTTAAGTAGTACATGAAAAGGCAGGGCTTGGAAACTCACCATGAGTTTTCTAACTCTCTGTGGATACGCAATGTCTTCTTCAAAGTAATGCCCTTCTGTTTCAAGGAATTCTGCTCAACAATTGTTGGCTGGAAAGAAACATCCTCAGATTGTGTTTTCTTCTTTGTTCTCCAAGCATCATCTATCTCAACTGCCCCACTTGGAGATGAGGCGGTTCATCCTGGGTGAGATTTTCTGTCACTTGAATGGCTTCATCCACCTTTTCACTGCAGCAGACTATTACGCATGGTTTGGACAACGGCTCCACTTTTTCCTGAGTAGCCTGGATGCCCAGAATCTTGACTTCCTACCTAGTGACCTGAGCTGTGATTCCCTTGCAGCCATGTATGTACAATTCTGTGCCTTTCATCCAATGTATATTTCCTCAAATAGCAGTGTTCCAATATTTGAGGGGCTCTTATAAAGACAAGGCAGTCAAACTATTTTCCAAAGTACCAGAAACCAGGACAAGAAACAATGGTTGGAAACTAATCAAGGAAAGACGCAACCTAGAACTAAGGAGAAATTTACTAACAGTGAGAACAATTAACCAGTGGAAGAGCTTGCCTTCAGAAGTAGTGGATGCTCCATCACTGGAGGCTTTTAAGAAGTGACTGGGCAGCCACTTGTGTGGAAGGGTATAGGGATTGGATTAGAAGACCTCAAACTCTTTTATTCTGTTATAATAACCCCCACACAACATGGAACCAACCACATGAGATGCTATTATTAATAATAATTGGGTAACGTTTTTAAATCTGCAAATAGATCAAGTTGGTTTTCTCATAGTTCCTCCTTTTTATGTACTGGTCAAATTCAGTTTATCAAGCATGACCATGCCTTTTCAAATTTGTGCTAAGATTTGTATATCATTTAGTGCACAATTCTTCCAAAGGTCTATGTTTTTCTTGGCAATGTTACGTAATATACTCAATCCTTGCAAATCATTTATCTAATATAATACATTTTTACATGAGTGTCACAAATAAATTACAAATGGCATATAATAATGTTCTGTACATGGAACTGCCTTTGGAAATGACCCAAAAGCTACAGATGATGGCTAAACTTCTGGATGAGTATCTCACTAGCAAAGAAAAACAACAAATTACTGCATTTGTTGCTAGGGTCCTTCTGGACTAGATTTTTGACTATATTGACTATATTGACTATTATCTATTAGCTTTAAAGCCCTGTATGCCATAGACAACTAGGACAAAGTCTACTCATGCAGTCAAGACCTCTAGATTGTTGAGGCTCTTTGTGAGGTTCATGAGGCATTGACTAGGGAACAAGCCTTCTAAATGGGGGCTGCACTCAGAGACAGAGATGTTCCCAACCATTAATTTTGTCTTTTTCTTTGAACTTGCTTTTGACTCTAGGTTGTTTTTAGTCACCTTTCATTTTATTTGTTTTATTTTTGTGCTGAGTGTTTTAAATTATTGTCACCTATCCAAAGTTTGCTAGGATTGGTGTATGATACAAATACTGGAGGTATATGTATGTAGGTATCTATGCATTTTTAATTAGCAAATGCACTGAAAACTTCAGAAAAATATGGCGTTTCAAACAATAGTTATATTTTAATTTGTATGTAGGTTCAAGATGGTACAATTAGACTCATTTATATTCAAATGTAAATAATTTTTCCTTCATGATTTTGCAGAGTGAGCACTTTAAAAGACCACCATGGCAACAACACATTTGAAAACCCTGAAGATATATATTCTTTTATAAAGCGGGTTCTCCATTTCCATGTACAAAATTCAGGTGAACAAATATATAATCTACCCAATCTTCCAGATATAAGAGTTTTTATTCTTTTAATATCTGCTTGAAGGACATTAAATGTTTTTAAATGTTGCTGGCTTCTAAGTTGTGGATTATGTTAATTTTAAATTTACTATAAATCTTCTGATTCAAGTGTAAAAAGCTCAGTGCAAAAGTCCACTAAACCATCCGCCCTCCTTTGAAACAAAGAGTTCCAAGGGTTAAAGGTTTACTCTTCTAACAGCTTTTGCTACCAGAAATCTGCAATTTGAAATTCTCTTTTGAAATTTCAGCCAAGCAGCCAAAACAATATTTTGGGTGAGCCAGGAGTAAATTTGTAGGCTTAGGAAATAAGATTGGGGGTGCTTTTTTCCTCTGCAGATGCTATGTGTCTTCACTCCTGTCTATTCCCCCACGTCAGTCAACACTGTCACTGCCAACCTGCAAAGCCCCAAGCCTTGGATTTTTACTCCTGTTTTCCCACCCATCCCCATGAATCACTTCTGACATTCTGGCTCCTAAATGGAATGAAATACCCTCCCTTTTTTCCTTATAAAGAGCAAAATTTAGAAACACCTATGTTCCAGTTTAGATACAAACTACAAAAGAGGGGCATCCCAGAAAGCAAGATGGCAGTCATGATTGCACAATTGAAATCCCAGTTATTTTTCTTGAAGTGGGGGGCAACTCATGCAACTGAGCTCACTCTATGGACTTTTTTTACAATTTGTGAATGTTTCTGCACAAAATCAACTATTCTTATAGTTGATTCTTATATATATTATGCTTTATCAACAAGAATAAAATACAAAATAAAGGAAATGGAAAAACAAAGAAAAATGTGTACAAAAAAGAGAAAAAAAATAATCCAAATATCAAATAAAACAAACGTTAAATATACAAAAAATCTACTCCAGCTGGATGATCTATTCTGTGCCAGAAAGTTTATGCCCTACATGTTTTGCACAAAAAAGTGATGTATGTATGTATGTATTTATATTCCCTATTTATTAACCATCCATCTCCTTCAATGTACTCAAATATATATACAACATATAACATTAATGTTAAAATAGAAAAAATAATTTAAGATTAAATATTTTTAAATTATAAAATATAATATAAAATTTCAAAAAGGTAAAAAAATTCTAAGATGGGCATAGTAATGGTTCATACAGGTATGGGTGGTTCTCATGGGGCTAGCCAGCCCCACAATTATATGGTCCTCTGTGCCCCCCACACAAGGTAATACAGCCAAGTTTTGACTCCTTTGAGGAAGGCCAGGAGAGTGGAGACTCGCCTCATCTCTGGGGGCAAGATGAGGGAGTCTTAATGAAGGGAACTTAATGAAGAGGCAGTGGCAGAGAAGGCTCTCTTCCTAGGCCCTGCTAGTCAAAATTCTTTAACTGATGGGGTCTGTAGCATATTGTCTGATTGAGTGAGACAGGTCGATGCAAGGGGACAAAGCCCAATAATCAAAAATCTTCCATTTTGAGAAATGTCTGAATCTTTTCTTGGGGTGCCATCAAAATAGCAAAGGGGTATAAGGCAAGTTCAGCATCTGGAAAGAGGGGCTAGTTGATTGTTTTCTCTGAATCCAGGTGTGTTAATGCTGGAGTGGGCAATGAGGCAGTTAGAGGCTGTTCAAATCAACATGTGAATTTGAGCAACAGCATTCAGAGGTTGCTTTACCAGAATTGTGAGCAGCCATTCTATCTTAGTCAGTGGTTAGGGAAGGGTACTGGAACTTTTAGTTTAGTAACAACAAAAAGATTATAGCTCTTTTGCCATCTTTGGTGGGTTTCAATTCTCAGCAATGGCCTTGCTGGCAGCAGAATATGAGAGCTGAAATCTACTTAGCTGGAAAGTACCAAAATTGATCTAACACAGGTTCCCCATCTTTGGTATAGGTTAATGCCAAGTAGACAAATTCCTTCTATAGGATTTTGCAGAAGCTGTGTTTCAATCTACTAAGCAGATAGACTCTGCCCTTAAGCACTTTGAGAAGTATTTGTCCCAGTTGTAGCATTTCTTAATCCTATCTTCTTTACATTTTGCACTTCAACTTTCTGAATGCTTTGCTGGTTGACAAGTGTGGAAGCTGAAATCCAACATAGTCTGGGAAGTTGGATGTTAGTGATAATCTCGTATCATAAATAGTTGCCTCTGCAAGTATCTGGATTCTTGACTGCTTTCTCTTTGCCACAGACTCTGCTTGCGCACAGGGGATCTCCACAGATAGGCAGTGGCTGGCAAGATTTTTTGGACCCTTCACCATTTATGGCTCATACTCAGATTTCACTGCACTGAAAAGCAACTTCCATGGGGTGAGAATTTTCTGGTCTAGGGGAGTCTAAACTTGGTTCCTTGCCAGTAAAAAAAAAGTCAAGGTTTTTTTTATTTGCTTTTTATTATTAAATTTATACGCTGCCCATCTTACTGTTATAGTGATTTTTGAGCCAATTTCATTCAAACAGCCTTCAGAATTATTATTCAACCATCCATCCCAATTCTGCTGATGTATTTTAAGATTACAGGCAAAGAATCTTTATCCTTGGGTTCTCTTCACAGTTTAGGGCCAATGAGGTCAAACAGGTCAAACAGGCACATAAGCTCCTTCCTCAAGTTTTAGCTTGCAAAATTTTATACTAGTCTGCAGGAAAGAGATGAAGATTTCTGTACCTCCTTCCAGAACCTATTCACTAGCCTAGATGGCATTCTTAGCCACCTGTGTCTGCAAGAGCAGTGAAAAATCTTGTGGTACTTTCAAGATTACCAATTTATTATCATCTAAAACAGGCATGTCAAACTGCCAGCCCGCAGGCCAGATGCATCATGCTGAAACCACTCCCACCCAATTGCCAGCAATGGGGGGAAAGTCATGATATGTCATGTGATGTCACGAGTTTGACATGCCTGATCTAAAACAAGTGCTTCTGTAAGGACCCACATCTTAAGAAAGCAGAACTCTTGGAGATGGTTTCCTCCAACAGGAACATTTATTAAAAGTAGTTGATAGCAGGCATAATAGACAGGATCTGAGGAATTCCTTTGCAGATCAGTACTTTGTGTCCCCAAGCAAACCCCACCCCACAGTTCATCCAGATGGTTCAGACCGGCCAATCCACAGGTATTAAGTCCATCGTGGGAAAGGGGAGATAACATCGGGCCAGCTCTGATCGTAGCACACTGTTCAAGCAGCTCTTCGCACCTCCTTTTGAGAACGAAGAAATAAGCCAGGCTCCAGAGATTGTATTACTTTCTCTCCCCCCCCCCTTTTCCTAGCTGACAGGTTAGGGCAAGGGTAGGCAACCTTGGCTCTTTTATGACTTGTGGACTTCAACTCCCAGAATTCCTGAGCCAGCCATGCTGGCTCAGGAATTCTGGAAGTTGAAGTCCACGAGTCATAAAAGAGCCAAGGTTGCCTACCCCTGGGTTAGGGAGAAGAAAGTTCAGAGAGAGATACAGTGCAGGAAGCAAATCGTTACGTTGTAGCAGGCAGCTGACACAGAAGCAATAAAGGAAGCAGAAGGTTGCATTGTAGTGAATAGAGGAAGGGAAAGCAATAACCTCACAGGCACATCCCCCTTGGAATATGGCAGAACCCAGGGGAAGGTGAGATTTCAGAGGGGATAGGTAGAAATGAAATAGGAATGGGTTCTGACAGCTTCAGTAGAATATTGGCCTTTAGTGAGCCTATGTGAAGTATTTTACCAGATTTGACGAGTATATCCAGCAGATGGCAGTACCTAGCCAACCTCAGCTTATCTTGACATACCTGTATACTTAGACCTGGATTGAAATTCATCAGGAAAGTCACTGAAGGACAGGAAGAGGCAGTAGTCACAAAGCAGACTTGAGCCCAGACCAAGAAATTATGTCAAACAAAAATGTCAGACAAGCCTCTCCCTAGACAACATAAAGAAAAGTGGGAGGAGGCAAGCACATTCAGAGTGCAAAATTCTGTTACTATAACTTTAAATAAAAGTAGTCCTGCTCTATATGACATTGTCTGTCTACCTTGTAGAGCTAACAAGATCCCAAGAGCCCACCATTTCACTTTCCACTACATCTTGTTCTGTTTTTCTGAATATAGTCAGATTCCTTGGACTTGTTCTCTGCAAGAACCTTGGCTGAGATGTCAGTTCAAAGCCATACCGTTTACAGCACTTCAGCCATGAAGCACATCTTCCAGACTATCAAGAAGAAAGCAGATGCAGACCAGTTCCTTGGCACTTATTTGGATGAGTTCAACCCCTTTGTAATGAAGGTCAGCAGAAGTCTTAGACACAGAGGTGTCCTGGAGGGGGGTTGTTTGTATTAAAATAGATAATATGCCAGTCATGGCATTGCTGCAGAAGCAACGATAGTGATGCTGTGATTGCCATCTTGCTTAGAGGTGGGGCTTTGATTGCAGAGCTATCTTGCCTGATTCATCCCTGTCTTATTGATCCCACCATCATGGTCTCTAGAATGTCCTCTACCACCAGCTTACCTTAGTCTTTGGGTGGAGGTAGGTGGACAGTCTCTAATCATGTATTGGTCTGCAGGTCTTTGCTGTTTTGCTTTTCTAAGAATCCTTATGGAGCCTACATGGAAACCAGATGCATTCTCAGGAATAAATCTGATTCTTTAAGCAAGCCAATATACCACTGAGATTTTTTTATCATTAATGGTCAGGAATTCAGCTAGAAGGAAATGTTCTCGGAACTTAAAAAGGTTCAAAAGTATGCTGGGGAAAAGTTATGTTAATTTCAGTATTAAATTGCCTATCCTTCCTTTTGACCAATGTCCCCCTACTATCTAACCTGAACAAATATACTACCAGCTTCTGCTATCTCCTGCTTCTTCCTCTAGAATCGTGATTTGCTAAGCAACGCCAATATCAGGGATGCCCTGCTGATGTTGTCAGCAGAGATCAGCTTTCCCCAAATGTCAGCTCTTTCTTTGAAAGACATGGCTGGGTGGCTAGAGAGACTCAATGACTTGCTGCCAGGTATCAATGGAACCATGCTGGAATTGTTGCCACTGGATATGTCCTGTCCATACTACCAAACAGTGTAAGTACACAATGACCATGGCTTGAATCTCTTTCACCCCTGGGTCTCTTCAGAGGCTGCGGAACATAATTTAGGAGAAGCAGGTCTCTTGTTAATTGATTATCTATTTCATCAATCCTTTTTGCTCATGTCACCTTCAGTGTTTTCATCCTGCTCACTTAAAGAGGAAGCCCCGCCATGTAATGTTTTATAAAAGTACCATTAAAAATTTTTGAAACAATATCACAAAATTCTGACAAGAGTAATTACAAAAAAAGTAATTTAATTTTCACATTCATCCACATTGTTCTACTGTGTTTTTCTTGACCAGTTCAGCCCTTGTTTTCCAAGCAGAAACTTCTGAGTACAGTCAGTCCCAAACTCCCAGCTTTCTTCTTTTGCAGAAAAAAACCCCCAATTGATTAGGCACATCCACCAAAGCCTATTACTCGGGCTGGCAATGGGAGGAGGGGTCAAAAAGTCAGAATGGCATATTTTATGTTCATCCAGTTCTTTCATTCCATTTCTCAGACAGAAGACAGAAATCACAGAAAATTGTTTTAAAATGATAGTGGGAAAAAGGTATTAAATACAAAAAAGAGAATAATCACATATAATTAATTATTTATAAGGACCTGTCTCAACTAAACCTCCCAAGAAAGCAGAACTCTTGAAAGAGGCATTGTCTCAAAAGGATCTTTTTATTGAGAGTTAGTGATGGCAAGAGAGTAAAGCAAGTTCTGAGATTTGGCACGTAAAGGATTATATCAAAAAGGCAATTCACAACTCTTCCCCCAGTGTCCAACCGTCAGGTTGAAATCCAGCCAATCCACAGGTGCCACAGTGTTATGAGAAGCCGGAGATTTAACAGCTTCTCAAGGTCTCTCCTGGTTTTGTTTCTCAACAGTCCCAGGCTTCCTTGTCTGGAGATAAGGCAGATATTTTCAGGTCACATTCCTCTTGCCCAGAGGGAAGGTCCAGAGCAGAACAAAGTAGATAATATTCCCCTGCAGGCACCCTCCCCCCAATAGTATGGCAAGCCCTGAAAATATATAGGCAAAAACAAGAGAGGGAAAAAGGAAAGATTAAAAGCAAACACAATTGAGGGGCTCTGACATTATTGTCAAGAAGCACCATACTTAACTTCCGAGTAGCATGCTGAAGGACATGCTCCAAATTTATTTTATAGTAAATTAAAACAGCCTTTGCCCATCCCATACTATGTTTTGGAACATGGCCTTCAGCATGTCACTCAGAAGTCAAGTGTGATGCTTCTCCACAAAAAAAATCTTACTCTCCTAATAGTATATTTAAAAATATACTATATTCATAGTATAATATTATGCATTGTTAGAAGCAGAAAAAAGAGACTCTCACATGCACCCAAAGGATGCAGAAAAAAATGGCGAACATATCCACCAAGGATAGAAAATGTAAGGCAGGGCATCGTAGATTCAAATCTTATTATGACCACAGATATCAACAGATTAATTCATACATAGTTCTACAGTCCACAGTTAAACATTATTCCCTATTTTGCAAAGTTGATGTGGAAATTATGATATATATCTGAAATAGTTAGAATATCTGTTATGAATAAAATATGCATTTATATTTTGCATTGACAAAATCAGGCAGGTTTGTGAGCATGAAGCGCCAAACACTCTGCATGCACAAATCTGCTTAATAGACTGAAGTCAGGCCATTCTGAAACCAATCATGACTGTGTTTTTCCCCAGTGTGAAAGCTCTAGACAGTGTTTATTCAACATTGTCAACCAGGAAGAGGCAGGATGTCTATGGATTTCAGAAGACTTACTTAACTGCCCAGTTTGCTATCTCAGGTAAGGAGTGGAAGCAACACCTAGTTATAAATAATAAATAGCTGTATCACTCCATAATATCATTACAGATGTAAACAGGTCCATCTGTTGGGGTAGACATAGATTCCAAGAAAGAGCCATTCTCTTCTGTGTTCTATGGAAAAAGTATTGGACTTTGATCTCAGTGAAAATGGGTCAAATCCTAGCCATTTTTGCAAGTAAAACTTTCAGGAGAATAACATTTATGACATCAGAAATAATTTGAACTTTATTGCAACCTGCAAATGAACCACAAATTTTCATTGTTCCTGGGAACATAAAAAAGCAAGACACAAATAACAGTCTGCTATAAAATATCAAAGCATTGAGCATTAAAACATAAACAAATGCAATCTTAACTCATAGGAGAGCTTCTGAGAAAGAAATATTGCATTTATATCTCCTTCACACACATACAACACTACCTTACAAAATACTAGGAATAAAATATGTGATAATTTACAAAGAATACAAGAAACACTCCTTGGCATAGTCAGCTGTTGAAGCATACTAAGTTTAAATTTGGTCCCTGCCTAGATTTCAGTTTCAGAACCAAAAAATAGGATAAAAGCATAATTGAATAATCGCATGCATTGCTTCCCCTTCATATCTGTTTCTCTATCTCCATTTTCTTCTTCCTCTTTGTCCCCCTCCATTTGGCCACTTTGAGTAGCCATTCTCAGTCATGAATTACTGACCTTCAACCATTTATATAGAAACTTCATTTAATTAAACAAAGTTGAGGAGGAGAACTAAATTCAGTTTCCATGAATTTAGATTTTTTTTATCATAATTTAGATTTTTTAATCATATTTATTTGACTACCCATCTATCCATTGAAATTCTGGACAGCAAACAAAATAATAGCAATAGCACTTAGGCTTATATACTGCTTCACAGTGCTTTACAGCAATCTGGGTGCTCATTTTATCAACTTTGGAAGGATGGAAGGATGAGCCAGCGAGAATTGAACTGCTGGCAGTCAGCAGAATCAGCCTGCAATACTGTATTCTAACCATTGCACTACCACAGCTCAAAATAAAAACATCATCAACTATGTTATTGGGGAGAGGAAATCCCACAACCATATAGGACCTTGAAGGTGACAACCAAACCTTGAATTGCACTTGGACACTTACTGAAACTCAGTGCAGCTCATGTAGCCGTGATGTTATGCATGTGTACAGGACCTTAGTGCTTCCAATATTACACATATTGCTATACTCTAAACAACTGAAGCTTCCGAATATTCTTCAAAGGCATATTGTAATTGTCTAATTGGGACATGAACTAAAGTGTGAGTGAGTATAGGTCAGGGGTAGGCAACCCAAAACACTCAGAGCCACTTGGACCCATTTCCCACCAAAAACAAAACACTGGGAGCCACAAAACCCTTTTGATATCTAAAAGGAACATAATACTGCATATATCCTTTTTTTACTATATATATATATATATATTCCCTCCCCTCTTACATTCTTTCTTACAACTTTTCCAAAATGCTTTGCTCCCCTCCCTCTGTTTACCAACAAGCTTAGCAAAGCATAGCGAAGATGGCAGAGCTGACAGTAACCCCATTCATAATTAACCAAAAAAAAAAAAAATCACTAGATATGGGGTGGAGAGATGTAACACTCACGGTGTTGGGGCTGAGCTGAAGGTGGTTCTTCCCAATCCAAGTGGCATGATGATGTCAGCATCATCAGATAGCATGCTGGATATCCCTTTCTATAACCTTATATACAGTAGACTTTAAATAATCTCATGTAGTTGTTAAATAAGAGTAGGGAAAGAATCCAACACTATGGAATGCCACAAAGTAGACACCTAGAATCTCTCCCTCTTTTTGCCCATACCTCCATCTCCACCCCCAGACTGGAAATGGCCTCAAAGAAAGAGTTAAGAATGATGGAAGACAGTGCCACCCACTCCCAAGCCACTTAGCTGATCCAGAATACCATGGTTGATGGTATTGAAAGCCTCTGAGAGATCCAAGAGGGCAAGGATGGATATGTTACCCACCCTGAGACTGTCAGAAATCATTTACAAATGTGATCAATGCTGTCATTAAAGTTTGCCAATGAACATTAAGGCTACATCCTGGTCTGAACCAATGCTCTTGGACATCTTGGGATCTCCCATATATCTATAATAGTAGTAACACAGAAGTAATCACTCTGGGGGGTGAGATGGGTGATCTCTAAATTTGTTATATAGAGAAAGTAACAGAGTAGTTCAACAGATGCTTCTTGTAGCTAAAATCTGAAATAGAATTTGAAATCTTCTGGCCTTGGAATCTTGGAACTTACAAGTGTTAGGTGGATATGAGATAGAGGAAAAAGTTGATAGGACCAGCCTAGTGATAACAGCTACAGTAGTAGCAACTAATAATAAACTATTTCACTTTCATGTCAGCATATTGCTGTTTTGTTTTTAGTTTTTAGACTTTGTATATTTTAAATTGTATGCTTTTTATATACTCTATTCAGACTTATTTTGCAACATCATAGAAATATATGTTGTAAATAAATACATAAATACTAGGATATGTGGTATGGTCTTGCATACTTTTATGTGTCTATTATACTGCAATAATTCAGATATCTACAAGAAGTGCTTCTTTAATAATAATTCACAATTATGACAGTGAGAAAAAATAACTTTATTACCAAGCCCCACTTCTACAAAATGTACAGGTCTGTAAAGCAAAGGAAAGCTGAAGGAAGATCATAAATTCAGTCACAGTTTCTCTTAGTGACCACTTTGCTCAATCACCAAGTTGCCAGCCTCTGTACTAGATGACATCAATGTGATATAGAAAACATTTCTTTGCTGCCATCTGGTGAACATCCAAATATGTGTGGCTTAGATATAGTATGCTTATGAATGAACTTTATTAGAGCTTTCCTTATATGAAATCTGCAGGCTCAGCATGTGATGGAGGGATGACTGGAATCCAAGATCTGCTGTTGAAGAATTTTGGAAAGTTTTGTTCAATGGCTAAACTAAGTGAACTTCAAACTTTTTATCCAGAACTCAATGGAGTAAGTTTTTCAAATCAGTGTCCCTGAATAAGAACTCATTCTCTGCTCTCTGATAATGTTTGCTTAATCTTTAATTTTTGAAAATTCAGACAACTTTTTTCCCCATCTGTTGCAATAATAACCCAATTATTACATTATGCATAATAAATATATCATTCTGGCATATATCATTTTCTCCTCCCAGTATATACCAGATTTCCAAACTGGCACCTATTAATGCCTATCTATTAGTCAGGAACTCCCATCATCTCCAGTTAATGTGGCTCTTGGCTGATTTATTTTTCAGTAAAATCCTTTTCAGGTCTGAGCGATCTTACTGCTATTGTCAAACCTGGTTTGGGATGTATTTTTTAAATGTAATCTCTGTACAAACATCCCTGTCACTGCAGAAGGCTAGTTTGGTCTAGTGATTAAGACAGGCTAGAAACTGGGAAACTGGATTCTAGTCCTGCCTTAGGTATGAAAGCTGACTGGATGAATTTGGGTCAGTCATTCTGGGGAAAACATAAGGAGGAAGGAATATTAAGTATGTTTGACATTTATAAAAATAGAAAAGGTGGGATAAAAATTACACACACATACCAAAAATCACACACACCACATACTGGAAGATATCCTCACTGTTTTCCAATCATGTAGCAGTTTCATCAGGCTTGCAACTGAGAAAAGACACTTGTCATACAAAAAAAATGTCTTTTTTCAACTTTGAATTTGTTTCTTCTTTGTTTTTCTTTTCCTCGTTTTGTATCTCCAACATAGATTTTTTTAAAAAATTAAAAATTTAAATAGCCTGATTGGCAACCAAATTGCCTTTCCACCAATATCCTATCTTTAGTTTAATTAATAGCAGTCTGGGCAATACTTTTTTCTTGTTTTTAATTTAGTTTGCTGTCTCTGAGTTAAAGAAATAGCAAAATGGAGTAATGTATTTATTTCTAAACCAAGCATATGACTTCAATCTGGACTGGACTTGTTTTCCAATTGATACACCTTCAGATACATTTGGAAATATAGTTCTCTTCATCCCTATCAAGTACAACCTTACCTGAGATGATGAGAATTGTATTTCACATCAATTAATAGATTAGGAAGCTTAGTAAAATATTTTGTATTGGTATAAAAACTCATGGGTCATCAGTTATTCTATGAAAAGAGATGTTTAGATCTTTTAAAGAACATTGTACTTATCTTTATCAATGTCCCCCAAATTAAACCTGCTTTATCTGTCTTTATGTTAATAATAGTTGGCATGTGCAGTTTCATGTCTCCAATATTTTATTCCATGCTCATCAATAAAAGGAAACTTCAAAACAACTGGAGTGGATTGCTACTTCATGCTTTCTTGAAATGCTTACACATATTTCCTTTTTTTAAGTTAACTTTATTTTGCTTAAAAAACAAATCAAACCACAGATACAGGGTGAGAGATATATGACTTGGCAATAAATAATAAAATATACAGTAAAACAGTAACAGAGACTAAAAGAAAGCAGTTATCACAAAAGAATTAACAAAATGATTAAAAAGATCTAAGAACAAATCAAGACTCCAACAACAATTTTTGTATATATGGGATAAAGAAAAAGAAATTGTCCTATTACGTTTTGCAAAAAGAATATCTCTTTCCCAAATCAAATCAAAGGTAAATTTTCTAATATATCTCAACATACCCTATCTTTTATACCTTAATTTTTCCATAACAACAATCTTTGATCATTTTCACGCCAGAGATCTAACAATGGAGACTGTATTTGCCAGTGTTGTATGATAGCCAACATTACCAAAATCATCATGTATTAAACAGTTACATTTTCAGTTCTATCAATTATCTCATTAAATAATTGTCATTATTTAATGTATAATGTAAATGTATCCTGGGATCTTAACTAAACTTTCCAATAAGGTTACCCTCTCCAATCCCTCCTATCAGAATCTTTGTCCAACCTCCCAGGACCCTTATGCAGGCATCTGGGTGCCTTTTGCTTTATCACATCTCCAACATTTATTTGGATCTCTCCCAGGAATTTGTGCAACCATAATATTATATATGAATACCTCTAAATAGTTTTTCTCATCTTTACTGATATAGACCATAATGTCAAGTTCTTTCAAATTATAGCCCATCGTGTGATTGAGAGATTGATTTTTAAATCAGATTCCTAGGTTACTTTGAGAGATATTGACCATACTTCAACCATTTCTAATTTTATATATTTTGGATATTAGACCTTTAGAGCAGCTGTCTCCAACCTTTCCAGCTCAGTAGACTGGTAGAGGCAGCAGTGGCAGGGAGTGGGGAAGAAGGGATGGTTTCATGTGCACTGCTTCCATAGCTCAGTTCCAAACGTGCTGTGGTCTGGCAATAGGCCAAAGACCAGGGCTTGGGAATCCTTGCTTTCGAGGACTCTCTCAGAATTGTATTTATTAAATTTATATGCTGCCCATCTGACTGTTCCATATTTTAGAATATTGATTCCTACATACTGAAATGTGTTTGACTATTAGTAGCGCGGGATGGTAGTTGGGCTGTTGGTTTGATCTCTGAACTTGGCAGTTTGAAGACATCCCCCCCGAATGGAGATGAAACGTTTGCAGCCAAATCACTGAGCTCGGAGATCAGACCAACAGCCCAAATTCCTACATATCTTACTAAATTTTGACAGACAAAATTCCTATTTTTCTTAATTTCCTTCTGGAGCTAGAAACCATATTTATAAAAAGTGCTTCTATTTTTATAGTTAATTTTCAATCATACTAGTTTCCCATTATTTATTTTTTCGTAATAATTGGCAGCACAGTATCATTGGCATATACATTCATGTCCATAAGAGATTTATAAAGTGAGATAGAGAGAGAAACTGTAGTTGGTCACCTCCCTGTTAGGCATTATAGCAGTCTCTCAAGTTTCGAAGTCTAATGCAGGTGGTTAATTTTCTTCTATCCCTCTTATTCCTCTCCTCTCTCTCCTCTGTTTAAGGTCAATTTCCAACATTCAGACTGTCTGGATCTGGATGTTCCACATGATCATAGCTTTCTTATTCTCCATGACCTTCTGACTTAGGAGGGTCTAGCCCCGTGATGGCGAACCTATGGCACGCGTGCCACAAGTGGCACGCAGAGCCCTCTCTGTGGGCATGCGCGCCATCGCCCCAATCCTAGGCCTTTAGGTGGGTGTTATAAAAGCTTTTCGCGGTTATAAGGAGGCTTCCTATTATCATATTTGGTGGTCATGCAGAGAGATAAAAGCATTTTGGATTAAAATATGGTGGAATATCCAGAGAATTTTTAGAAGGAGGGTAAAATTTACTCCGCAATTATTTTTGTTAGGTATTGTTACAGATTGTGATACAAAGGAGGTTGTATTGATGTTAAACTTGATCACAGCCGCTAGGCTGTTAGTAGGACAATACTGGAAGAAGGAATCTTTGCCTACATTGCAGGAATGGTTTCTTAAAGTAGCTTATCTGGCAGAAATGGCAAAGATTTCGGCTTTCTTAAAGCAACAAACGCAAGAGAAGTTTTTTGCTGTTTGGGATAAATGGATAAAATTTATACAATTTAGATTGGGTATACAAAAATATTATATAGTTTTTTCATAAGTTTTATTTTCATATATATTATAGATAATTTTTTATATATATAAATATAAAGTTTTTAATTTAATTTTTATTTTTATTTTTTAAGCCTATATTCTGCTCTGGGAAGCTCAGGGGGGGGGAAGGGAGGTTTTTTTTTTTTTTTTTGGGAGGGCTGGGGGATGGGGTTTTTTTTTTTTTTATTTAATATATGTATTGTTTAGTTTTATTTTTCTGTATATGTTGCCTTTTGTTTTGTATTATTTTTCCTTTTTTGTAAAATTTATAAAACTTTCAATAAAAAAAAAAAAAAAAAAAAAAGCTTTTCGCTTTAGGCCTCTGCCACCATGTGCAAAAAAAAAAGTTCAACCAATCAATCAATTTCAACTTCTCACGGGAAAAAAAAGATCTCGCAAAGTTGGAATTGATTGAACTTTTTAGTCCCACTCAGTCCCATTACTACAGCAGCCACACCCACCCAACAGGCCATGCCCACCCAGCACCCGATGAGACATAAGTGGGTTTGGGGTTGCAGTTTGGGTACTCGGTCTCTAAAAGGTTCGCCATCACTGGTCTAGCCCATATTTTATACAGATGTTCCTATACACAATGCCAGCTACTTGATTGTGCTACTCAGTGTATACTGTTACTGCCTGCAATTTACACCCTGCCACTATGTGTTGGACACTCTTTGAAAACTCTCTGCACAGTCTGCACCTTGGAGTCTGTCTAGTGGAGTAGACCCCTGTTTCTATGGCTCTGGTGCTGCTAAAAGTCAGGCTGTCTTTTAGTCTAGCCCAGCAGTTCTAACCTGTGGGTCACGACCCTTTTGGGGGTCAAATGACGTTTTCACAGGGGTCGCCTAAGACCATCGGAAAACACATATTTCAGATGGTCTTAGGAACCGAGACACTAGTGAGAATTTCTGGTCAAGGCTATTTCCGCCAGCCAGCTCTGGCAGACAGCAAAGCAGCCACCTCAGCAGCATGGCGGGGCTGCGCTACCCATTGCAGAGCAGCTACTGCCGCATTGCCACAGCTATGAACCTCCTGCTCAGCGTCTCTCAGATCCTCTTGCCTGGCTTCTGTCTGGGAGAAGCACAGGGCTAAGGTAAAAAAAAAAAAGCCTGGCAAAATACTCCCGAGGGGTAGCGTCGATCTGTAGCAGGAGGTGAAGGGGGCGGGTGGGTGGGTGGGGGTTGACCAAAAGGGAACCGGATCTGATAAGGGTGAAAGTTGAGTGAGGTTTTCCCCCTCGCCCCTCTCTCCGCCTCCCTTTGTGCAGCGGCGTCTCTGGCTGCTGCCTTTCCAGTCACCGAGAAAGGGGGAAAAAAGAGACGTGAATGAGTTCCCCTTTCTGCCTCATTGCTTAAAGCTTTTTTTTTTAAATGAACCACTCGTTCAGAACTCCTCGGGGCTTGTTTGC